GTTTTGTATATATATATATATATATATATATGTATGTCACAGTCAAAGCCCGAAGTCCGGCCACTTCGAGAATTGGCCATAGCTCTCGGCCAAAGTGCGAAATAATTGAAACGATCAATTATTTCGCAATTTGGCCGGCCATTTCGCGAAGTGGCCACGATGTTCCGGCCAAAACGCGATGTGATCATTCAAGAATGCCCGGGCAAATGTAAACCGGGCAGTGGCACTTAACTAGACCTAGTATATATTTCGGACATTTACCAAAGGTCTAGTCATACTAGGCCTAGTTAAATCCCACTGCGCAGTATACATTTGCCCGGTATATCCCACACTGATGTTTTTTAAGGTCAAGTGTCACTTCTCGGTACACATTTACCCGGTATATCCTACACTGATGTTTCTTTTAGGTCAAGTGTCACTTCTCTATACATTTGCCCGGTATACCCTACACTGATACTTTTTTAAGGCTCAGTGCCACTGCCCGGTATATCCTACACTGATGTTTTTTTAAGGTTCAGTGCCACTGCCCAGTATGCATTTGCCCGGTATTTATCTTCTAATCTATCGTCAGTAAAAATATCGAATAAATGTAATCTATCGTCAGTAAGTATTAAAATATCAAATAAATGTAATTATATCCGGCCAATTCCTGAAATCAAGAAAAGATCGGACATTGGCCAGTCAATTTACAGTGTTTTTGGTCAATTCGCGAAATGGCCGATTCGGGCTTTGGCCGTACCATATACACTGGTGTGCAAAACTTAAGCAACAGGTGGTTTTTCGGCCACAGCTCCCCAACAAAGTATAATATAGCTATGAAATTGCAGTATAATATACACGTAATTCAGTCGAAAGATTATTTGTATGCAAGTTTTAGAAATAAAACGTTGTAGGTGATGTAAGTGTACGTAAACCTTGTGGGTTGGCGAGCGCAGGTCAAAGCTGTGATAAAAGGATGAAGAGCATCGTAGTTAAAGACATTCTCTGCAAGTGCAAGTGATTTGTTTTGTGAAACATGTCTTCAAGATATCATTTAGACGACTTTACTCGAGGAAGAATGATTGGGAAGCCTAAGTAAGGGCGTAGTGTGACCAGTGTCACCGAAGAGTTCGAGATCAACAAAAGTGTTGTTTCTCGTGCTTGGAATGCCTTTAAAACTACTGTTACAGCTGTTCGGAAGGTTGGTGGTGGCCGTCCAAGGAAAACAACACCAAGAGATGACCGTTACATTGTCCTCCAGGCGAAAAGAAACCGTTTTCAGTCAGCGAGCGCCATATCTCAGCAACAGCGCACAGCCACAGGACGACAAGTATCAAGATTTACAGTGGCCAGACGCCTCCACTAAGGTGGCTTATTTGCTAGACGTCCTGAACGCTGCATACCTTTAAAAGTTAGCCATCGGCGGCACCGTTCAGAGTGCTGCAGAGAACACGAAACCTGGACACCTCATCAATGGAGTCGCGTCCTCTTCGCAGATGAGAGTCGTTTTAGTGCTACAAGCGATTGTCAACGTCAGTTGATCTGGAGAGAGGTTGGAGCTCGATTTCATCCCAATAATATCACGGAAAGAGATCGTTACGGTGGTCCTGGAGTTGTCGTCTGGGGTGGCAGTATGTTGAACGGGTGGACTGAGCTTCAGATCTTCGACCGAGGTTCTGTAACTGGAGACCGCTACTGCAATGAGGTAATCCTACCCTATGTGCGTCTGTTCGGAGAGGCCATTGGACCAGACTTCATTTTTATGGATGACAATGCCCGGCCACACCGTACTGCTAATGTTCAAGAGCTACTGGAAAGGGAAGATATCACACGAATGGATTGCCCAGCTTACTCTCCAGATCTAAATCCCATAGAGCATGTGTGGGATGCATTTGGGAGACGTCTTGCGACACGACAGTATCCTCCTGGTAACACCAATCAGCTGAAAGATGCGTTAAGGGAGGAATGGAGGCGTTTACCTCAAGAACTCCTGGATAATCTGGTGCTTAGCATGGAGAGACGATGCCAAGCAACAATTACAGTAAGGGGAGGGCATATCCCTTACTAGGGAACATCTGCCAGTTGTACTTACGCTTCTTCAGGCAATCATGTGTAACGCCACTATATGTCAAATAAAGTTCTTTTTTGTTCCATACCCTACTTTAAGCTTTATATTCATTTCTGTGCCATTATTCTTTTACCATCGTTTAAGTACAAAATAATGTACATCATATTCAAATTTCATGTCAATCGGTTGATTTCTTGTAGAGTTATGACAAAAAACGCACTTGTTGCTTAAGTTTAGTATATATATTAATATAATATAAGATAATATATATATAAGTTGTACCAGTATATATATATATATATAGCACAATAAAAACAAAACCGAACTAAAAACGGAAACAAAAAGAAAACGAAAGTAAGTTAATTGTAGATAATATCAAGCGCTAAAGCTGCCTTAAATATGATCACAATAACATAGCACAAAAAAAACAAAGAGAAAACGAAGAAAAGACTCTNAAATATATAAATACAGAGATTAAATAGAAAGCCTGCATTTTGCTACAACTTTAAATATAAAAATAAATAAAATTGTACGTAAAATGCGCAAACATTAAACATTAGCAGTTATATATATATATCAGAATTGTGTTTTTCCTATATTTATTTTTAGGTCATCGAGTACGGGAATTCCATCTGCAAATAAGAGTGCCCCGTACATAATTATGATTGCTGGAATTATTTTACTAACTGGAGCAATACTAGTCGTTTCTCATTTTGTTCTCGGATGTGAGTAAAATATCCAATTTTAATATCGCGTTTTAAATTAAAATTCAAAATGAATGCAAATCTGGACTCAAAATGAAGCAAGGAATTTATTAGACACTTGGTCTTATAATTTTTCATCGTTTTATATTAAAATGAAGGAATAATTAAGTTCTAAATCGAAGAGTGACATGGATGCATTTTATTTAGAATAAATGACTGTTTTGAGTAATTTATTAAAATTTTAAAAAACAAAGAGCAAAATTTTTTTTTGCTTAACAATATTAAGATAGTACTAAATAATGTTTTATATTTAATTAATTTGGAAACCGTCACAGTTTGACTTTTTATATTATTTTATATTATTAGTCATATCATTTTCCATCCAGCCTATCTATAAATCAGTCCTCAACTCCCACGGGAGCTTAAAAGGATTAAATTTAGATAACTTACATGATTTTTTAAACCTTTAGAAGAGCTGAATCAACTGTCGCATTACATAGTAACTAAAACAACAAATGCTATCCACTTTATTTAAAACTCCATTCCCGAAATAAGATCCGAACATTATCCGAAATAAAAACATACATCGCGATCTCAACATAGATTTTTTAGATCATCATATTGCAAAGCTAAAAAACAAATTTTTTGAAAAAACCATAAATTGTGACCCAGCAGGATTCAATGAAATTTTTAATTCTGAAAACTTAAGAGAGGACATAAATCTCAGGCCGATGGCAGCTTACTTTTGTAGTGACGTAACTTTATCCAAAGTACAAAATATTTAATTTCCTTTTAACTCCAATTTGCATTCCAATTACCAGAAAGAGCCACCTTAAAGACAACATCACAAGACGGGCGGGAAAAGGGCCGGTAACGGCTTCAGGCACCCAAATAAATTTTGATGATGATGATGATATGTTGGTGCTTATAACTTACACAGTCGGAACTCGTTACTTCTGTTGCATTCCACCACCTCGTCGAAACAGCACAAGGCTGAGGATGAATAGGAAAAGGGCCGCAAGCAGCCTCAGATGCCCAGATGATTAAATACAGTTCAGTTCAATATGTTTATATAATCAATAATTTAAAAATTCAACTTTTATTACAACGAGTTGTTTTGACCGCTTGAAAATAGGGGCCCATTTTCAAGACTTGTCAGACGTGCATACTTTTGGAGCCAGCGAAGTATTTTTTTTAATCAAGTAACATTCAACCTCTTCAAGTTTTTTGAGGCAATTTATTTAAACTAACACAATGGTTGAAAGGCAAGACAATTGCAGGGCATACCAAGCATCAAGATTGATAGCACAGAGCGGATGTAAAAACATTAAAATTTCTTTGGTAGAAAAATGACTAAAACGAATTAAAAAATTGCATTGCAAGTGTATATAAAATATTTTAAAAAACCGTAAAATTACATACTAATTCGAGTTGTCTTTCTCAAACTTCGGTTGAGCGAATTTGGTCTTAATGCCTATTAAATTAAAATAGTAAGTTCAGAATGTATTTCTCTAGAGCAAGAATGTGCTAAGGGTAAATTTAAGTTTAATGATCTTGGTTAATAAATTATTTCATAAAGTCTAGTTTTTCTTTTTATGTATCGGAACTATTTTAACTTTCAGATAAGGATTTGGACAAAAAAGTCAATTTTCTAAAACAAAATAGAGCAGGTAAGTAAATTTCAAAAATGATTATTATTTTTAAAATATTGTGAATGATTACAGTGCTGCAATAATGATGATTCATTTGATTATAATTCTTGCTATTATTTATGACGATTTATGTAGTTTTTATTGCGTAATTATTTTTCATGACTATTATTATTACTTGTAATTGACAAAATAATTTAAATTAATTTAAAATGGAAATTCCATTCCAATCAAGGTTTAGATTTTATACTCGTAGAAAATTATGAATTGTCCACTTTCATAAATGTTTTAGTTTGCCTATTATCAATATTATAGTCTTATCATCAATATTATCCCCCTATATTAAAGTCTTATCAACAATATCCCCCTATATTAAAGACTTTAATACAGGACTGCCAGGCCTGAAAGCGAGATGGAAAAGAGAAAATACTGGTAGGAGAACTATTTCAAAATTAGTTAATATTTGGGAGCAGTCAATCTATTCTTAACAATAAACAATTCACTGTAATCAATTATTTCTCGGCGAAGAAGCAGTTTAATATCTAAATTTTATTCCTTAAAAACTATTGGTTGTTAGATATTTTTATTATTCCCGAAAAAAAATTAAAAAACGAAATTTATTTGTTACCAGTTTTTACTCTTTTCCGTCTTGATATATATGGGCTTTCAGCCCTGAAGATCAACACCACATCATGATAGTAACATCTGAAGATCACCAAGTAATGATGAAGAGGTAAAAGGCCCCAGCCAAACCAAAGACGAAGACGACTTCCAACTGAGGCTATGTGGCTACTATGCACCTGAGAAGCTCGGGGGTACTACCTCGGGGTGAGGCGAGGCAGTTTGCCACAAAAACCTCTTCTCTCTCTTAAATTTGTTTGTTTAATTTCGCTACTTCCCACTCAGATTTATTATTTAATCCCTGGCGGGGCTGATGCTAAGATAACCACCACATATGAGTATGAGGACTGCCAACTTTCTAGCTTTCTGAGAAAATTTCTCTCAGTGTAGCAAATTATGATTAATGTATGATTCTTATTTAGTAAATTTGATTGAGTTTTCCTTACCATTGCATATGAATGCAAAAGTTCATATAAAAAGCTTTGTCAAAACTCCCCTAACTTTTCAAAAATTTCAGTTTTTGATTGTCCACCATTCAAACAAATATTTTTTCAAAACGCGTAGTTGTTGTCGGTCCTGTTTCACCCGTAGACATGGGTGAAAGCGAGACGGAGAAGAAGAAATGATGGTAGTAAAGCCATTTCAATTTTAACTTGTTTTCGGGATGAGTGACTCTATTCTCTTCTTCAAACTATTCAACAATATTTACTTTTTCCTCAGGAAAGAATCAGTTTTATATATATGCTATAATTGTAAAAATAATCTCGGTAGTAACAGAAATTAATGTTTCCCGAAAAAAGAGCTAGAATGAAATGCCTTTCGTACCAGTTTTTTCTCTTTTCCGTCTTCTCTTTTCCGATATACATAGGCTTTCAGCCCTGACCGTAGACTCAAAAAGGCCGTAAGGCCTCAGACGCACAGTTCCATTACAACGAACCGTAGACTAAAAAATGGGCTATATGAGACAAATCTACATAAAAAAAAGTGGTAGTACATATTTGCTTATGCGAAGTGGATAATTCATTCTATTGCCTACCAATTTAGCTCTGAAAAAGCACTGCTTGTTGAAGACCCAATAATACGTTTTTATACTTCAAATAAAATGTTGCAGACCAAATTTCGCTTGTATTTGCAAACTAAATCTGGCATCCCTGTACTATCACCTTTTTCTTCTTTGTAAAGGGTTACCGCTCATTTAAAGAGACGGGGAAGCAGAATTAGTTATTATTCGAATTGATTTGTTTTGTTTTGTTTATTGTTTATTGGAATTGCATACATGTGAAGACTTTTGTACTCAATAAAGGCTTCTTAATTTTTGTCAAATAGAAGAAAAGATAGCACAATACAGAGAAGGACAGCACGAAGATACATCCAGATTAACAGCGGGATTCGAACCCGCTACTTCCACGCTTTGCACAGCGTTGGGCGGATGATACCGCTCGGACAGGGAGGCCCATAGAATTTTATAGGGAATCTTATTAATTATTTATATCATTTAAATTATTTATAAGTACAACGATCTTACTTGTTGATCAAAATCAATTTAAATCAACTTTGTTAAATAAGGATAAAGATATTAACGTATCCAAAATCTCCCCCCAAAATCAGACGAATTGGCAACTATGAAAACCTTTGCAATTACAATTATTAAGAACTAAAAACTCAATTTTTCAAAAAGAATAATAAGAGTAAGAATTTCTGTTTTAATTTAAACCTAAAAATAACTATCATTTTCTCTAAAGGCTAGTTTGTCTCAATGCTTCACCCAGAAGCTTCCTTGTCTTCTAGGTTAGGTTCAAAATTACAAGGCTACGGAGTTAAACATTGATAACTCAGAATTGGGTTGGCTGTTGCACGACTAATAAAATAAAATTATTCTTTGGCTGATTAAATTATTAAATAGCAATAGTATTAAAGAAATAAAAGTTACTCAGGTTTATAAAATATTGTTTTTTAAAACCATTGTATAATTTTTTTTCTTCCAAAATTATACAAAATATTATTTTTCTCTTCTGGTTATCTTTATTTTAATTATTTTTGATTACATAGCACAAAATGTAATACGATTAAACTTATTTTTTTTAGAATATCTTGTTGACCAAACTTGCGATGAAGAATTTTGCCTCACTAAGGATTGCGTTTCAATGGGTAATCTTTGTTATCATTTAAGTTTCCTAAATATTTTTTTCAGCTCAAATTAGGGTAATATTTTTAGACTATTTTATGAATTAAGAAGATAATTTTTTTATTAGTTTTTAATCTTTTATTAATAATTAGTGTTGATTTGTCAATAAACTATTTGTTTTCAATTCCGACTTCACACAAAGTCAAGTTGGTGTTTTATTGAGAAATAATAGAAAATAAATCATGATAAGGAAATGAAGGAGTGGAAAATACAATCAAAGAATGAAAATGATTTATGCAAATTAAGAAAAAGGCAAAATAAGAAAATAATAATAAGTCAGAATGGAAAAGTGCTAAAAGCAGCTGTAATGAAATTTATCTTATTTAAACAATTTAGAACCACAAATCAAGCAACGAAAAAAAAATATTTCTAAAGACATGTATGTTAGCAAAAACAGCACTACATCAGGAGACACACCGTCTGCTTACACACAGGAGTCTTTATAATCTATACATCTATACATAATAATAAACGCGGCTGTGTGTGTGTGTGTGTGTGACTGTAATCATAATNCCCGCTTCGGTAGCCCAGCGACCTGCACGAGAAGTCGAGCACTTTACGGTAGCACAGTTTAACCAGGACCCATACCGCACACCCTCGGTCCCTGCGCAGACTGATCCAAGTGGGTCACCCACCCGCACACTGACCGCAGCCAGTGATGCTTGACTTCGGTGATCTGCTGGGAACCGTGTCTTAACGATCAGTCCACTGCGGGACGATAAGGAAATGAAGGAGTGGAAAATACAATAAAAGAATGAAAATGATTTATGCAAAGTAAGAAAAAGGCAAAATAAGAAAATAATAATAAGTCAGAATGGAAAGTGCTAAAAGCAGCTGTAATGAAATTTATCTTATTTAAACAATTTAGAAGCACAAATCAAGCAACGAAAAAAAGAAAAATTTCTAAAGATATGTATGTTAGCAAAAACAGCACTTCATCAGGAGACACACCGCCTGCTTACACACAGGAGTCTTTATAATAACAAATAAAGACACAATAATCATAATAAAGACACATTTACCCATTATGGGACCTCGGGGCATAGTCAGTTTTTGGTTTTAACACTGACAACAGAAAGGCTCCTGTGTGTTAGCAGACAGTGTGTCTGATGAAGTACTGTTTTTGCTAACATACATATCTTTAGAAATTTTCCTTTTTTTTGCTTGGTTTGTGCTTCTAACTTTCTAAATTGAGTTTAAAATATTACAGATGTTAAAGATTAAAATTTAAAAAAAAATGGTAGACAAAATTTTATAAAAGCTGGAGCAAACACTTCTCTATAGCCACAAATTCAATTAAAAAAAATTACGATGAGCGATTGCAGTACTGCTTACATATTTACAGAATCATTTATGTTTGAGATAATCACAAATGGTTAATTTCTTTAAAAAACAGAGAGGAATCAAAGAAGTTTTGCTACTACTTTTTTAAACTTTTATTTGAATCGCAGAAATTTTTAAAAAGAGTATTTTTATGTGACCCGCTTGCAATTTGTTAATAAGCAATATTTATTAAATAATGAAATCAGTTCAAATAATGATTCTATATATATTTTTAATTTGTTTGTTTGAAGCCTCACGGATAATGAATTTGATGAATCCAAGAGTGGAACCCTGTGAAGATTTTTATGAATATGCATGTGGAGGATATGCAAAGACTAATTTTGTACCTTTTGGACAAACTGATTACACACCAGCTGAAGAGACCAAACTTGTTATATTTCAGAAGATAAGAAGTAAGAGTTCTATTAAATTTTAATTATGAGCCACAGGAGACTATACGTGTAAAAGGTGGTAGAAACTCAAATCATTTTTCTTTACTTATTATCGCTTTAATTATTTAATTACTACTACCACTATGCAAACAGATCTTCAATTGCCAATATAGTCATAACTATCATAATGAGAATATAATTTAAATAGTACTAAAGTCAAAACGAATGTAAATTTTGTAACATACTTAAATACAAATATAATTAGTGTTTACGATATAGTGTTGCTGCTATGCTTAAAATTTATTACTTATGTTCGCCGTGGCTGAATTTACAGAGACAATGTACAACACTATCTTTATAAATTCAAATTCCTTTGCCACCCCAACTCAGAGGTATTAATATTGTACAGCAAAATGAACATATATAAGGTACATAAAAACTTTACACAAAAGGATTAAAAAAATTTTCTTTTAGAAATTTTTTATATAATTTTAAATAAATAGACAATTGAAGGTCAAAAAATTGAAATAAGTCCGTATACCAGCCTATAAATAAGTAACTAAAGCTTTCACAAATTAAGAACCTAATTTTAAAAATTTTGTATAATTTAAATTCCTTATTTTTCAAAACTGCAGTTAATTGAAGTCAATTATTTGGAAATTTTGAAAGTAATCATTTTTCGTTTGCTTATATGCAAAACGCTAAACAAATTTTGTTAAGAATTTGAAACAAATAATAACTGGGTATTTGTAACTCGAGAAGAAGTGAAATAATTATATCTAGCAGTGCGATTTAAATCAGATTTGATTGGATACCTGTAAGTGACATCACGTGTGTGTGTTTTTGAAATGACAAATGCCAAAATTTTACCTACGATGACATCAATTGCAGGTATCCAATTGAGTAAGCTTAGGAATTGACAATGATTTTACTATTTTTCTACACAAAAATTTTTATGCTTGTTTTTTAAATCTGAAATTAAGAAAAAAATTAAAATTCAGGTGTTCTGACGAATTAATTTTTTTAAATTTTGAGATAAAAAATTAATCTGCAAGTTGCTCTGATGCCATGCTGGAGGATTTCTGATTCTGGACTTATGTTTAAAACCACTACTAGGATAATAATTAAGGAATAGTTTTTTTTAAAAAAAAAGTTCTTTTTGTTTAAATACTTTAGGACATGCTTAAGATAAAGTTTATAAATTTAAAAATGTTTGCATTTCACCTTATTTTCCCATTTAAAACATGATTATTAATTGACATTTTATCATCTCTCTTGCATAGCTTGATCAGTTAATTAAGCAGTCAGTTTAAAAATTTCAAGTTATAAAAAATATATTGTTGATTTTAGGTGCAATGGAAAGCTTTTCAAATGATAAATATTAATTGATCAACTGATAATTATTAATTGACATTTTATCATCTCTCTTGCATAGCTTGATCAGATTATGCAGTAGTCAGTTTAAAACTTTTAAGTTATGAAAAATATTTTGTTGATTTTAGGTGTCATGGAAAGCTCTTCAAATGATGGAAACAGCTCCACACTTCAGAAAATGAGACAAATCTATAGCTCTTGCAGTGATACGGGTATTCTTATGCTTGTACTAACCTTTTAACACTTAAAGGACATTAATGTCATTATAAAATTAAAGCAAAACAACGTCAAGAAATCAAAAATAAAAGTACATAAATGGACATACAATAGTTTCGGTTTTTAAATAAGAACTTTCTTTCAAAACCGAAACTACTAAGCATTATTATCCAAAGGCGACATTATTTTCACAACTAGAAAATAATACTTCTAGTTATAAAAATAGAATAATATATTAAAATATAATAAAAAATATATTTCACTGATAATTTTTAAAATAAATTTCCACTAACAAATATATTCCACACCAAATGCAAGTGTTAGAGGGTATATAGTATGTCCATAAATTTATTTGTTTATGTATTTCTATAAACTTATTTGTGTACTTTATTCATCTTACTTGCTTTTATTTTATTCTACGTAGCACAAAGGGTACCCTATTGTCTTTTTCGGATTTCATGTCATTCGCATACCTAATTATGAAACTATAATTAAGAGGCTTTGTGTAATTCAAGATAAGTTTACAAAAATGAATTCAATTATGATTGGATCCAATTTGGGATCCATGGTAATGCATGGTGGGCCTAAGACGCAAGTATTTATTTAATATTGAAATCCAGGGTTCAGTTCAAGATCCATGGGGGGGGGTAAAGACATAACTATTTAATTGATTGTGAAATCCGTAGTTCAATTCAAGATTTATGGAAACGCATGGTGGGGGTAAGACATAACTATTTAATTAATTGTGAAATCCGTAGTTCAATTCAAGATTTATGGAAACGCATGGTGGGGGTAAGACATAACTATTTAATTGATTGTGAAATCCGTAGTTCAATTCAAGATTTATGGAAACGCATGGTGGGAGTAAGACATTACTATTTAATTGATTGTGAAATCCATAGTTCAATTCAAAATTTACGGAAACGCATGGTGTGTATAAAACACAAATATCTATTAAATAGTGAACTCCAGGATTCAATTCAGGATTGAAGGCAGCTAGTGAGAAATCTGAGATAATTCTTTACGAATAGATGAAAATATATTGTTACTCGAATTTAAATGAAAAATTAAATGCTTTTGATGATTTAATTTCTTTTTTTAATGTACAATAATTGAAATACTTCTTTGATAGTATACCCTCCGATCAGAAAAAAGGCTGCCAATGGGCTGTGTGTAACATTTTCTTTTAAGAATCCTTTGCTGAATACATAAGAAAGCTGAAAAAAGTTGAATTTTGTAAAAAATTTTAAATAATTTATATGTAGTGGTGTGGAAATTTTTTTAAAATCAAACTTGCGAAACAATCTTACATTAAAACATAAACATAAGAGTAGGAAAATAGCAGCCCTGATATTAGTAGCATATACCTGATATTAGGTCATGAGATCACGGCTACTTGTACCACGTAAATGTGAAATAGGAAGTAAAACCGTTTTATTTATTTCTTGTTTACACAGAAAATGGATGGCTGCTATTTCCAAGACTTAATAACAGTCATTTTCTACGCAAGGAAAAAGTCCCGTACATACTTTAGAACTTTTAATAAGCCTTGGATACTTATTTTCTCTTGGACATGAAATGATTTTTACTTCCAGTTTTTTCTTCTTTTTCTCCAGAGCACAAACAGAACTGTAAAAAATTTCTCATAAAAATGAGACACATTGAAATCACATGAAAAACATTATGGTGTATATAATCTAAAAACGTAATTCTTATTATAAATTTCTTTAACTCATTGCATTTGCATTTCAGAGAGGAGGGATGCGTTACAAAGAGATTCCTTCAATGCGTGGCTACTGGAAATGGATATATCTTTGTCTGGTAATCCTAATGAAGTGACACTGAGTTTGGAAACTCCTGGATCGTGGAGAACAATCGTTTCTAAACTGGAAGAGTATCAGATCCACACTCTCTTCAAAGCAACTTTCAAAGGATCTACATCAACACCTATCCAGAAAATCGTAATTATTTGACAATAAAATACGGTTTGTGCTTAGTATTTGGTTCATGAGAAATGGATCAATGATTAGTTGGTTTAACTTTTAACGAAAAAAATAGTAAAAGAAAAAAGCTACATATTGAATTGGGATAATATTCGCTCTTTTCAACACTCATATTTGCAAATTAAGAATTATTAAGAATGCAAATCCCTGCTAATATTCCTTTATGTGGCTTGAATTTGACAAATTTTTTTTATAATATGTAATATAAAAGGGTCGATGATTCGTCTTGCAATCTGCGAAATATGTCAAGAGTGTAGAAAAGTTAAGAAATGTCAAAAAATGGTTTGAAAAACTAAGCAGCTTGGGAATCGCACAACGATATTTACATTTATTATGGGCCGGGATAGTCTGGTTGGTGGGACTTTGGGCCCATGTCCAAGAGGTTGTGAGTTCGGTCCCTGCGGGTCGAAGACTCTCCGTGTAGTAAATGGGGACAGGTGCACACTGAATCTGACGGATCACAAATAACCTCTTGGCTCCTATAACAAATCAATAACCTCTCGGGGTATTGAATTGGAGATTGATCGTTCTCCGGTTCAGGTCAATATTATGATCGGTGGATGAATGAATGGATGTATGAATGGGTCCGTCCTATGAACGGGCCGTGATGTATATGTGGCTGAAGTCGTATTCTTGGCCATAGATGGTGCCACTGAAAACAAGAAATGCACTTTCTGCCTTAAACTTGCTTAGTTTCACCAGGCAAGTTTGCTGGCATTGACAAATGACATTAGGAATAACAACCTCCATTACATTACAAGGCATTGTTTTTTTTAATAATATTTTATTTTGCATTCTAACAATTCAAACAGCTCATCTGAATTGCCTAAAATAATCACAGACAATTTTTAAAGCAGGTGATAAAACATTTTAGTTGATACGTTGCGTCGGAATGGCATAACATACAAAAGTTTCCTAAGACTATTTGGTATATGAAGTCCATTTGACACAACTTGTCCCTGAAACTTTTTATCATGCAGGTCAAAGAACCGAGAAAATAATAAACTAGCTGGGTGGACTTAGCCTTTTCATATCTTTGCCTCTTATTTACATAGGAGGAACTGTTTGAGAATAGGAAGAACTGTTTGAAAAGTGATGAAACGCAATTGAAAAAAATTATAATATTTGGCTACTCAATAAAATATCAATATTTGTATAATATTTTGCAATAGATCTTCTTTTACATATATAACTGGATCTATTACAAATTAGCCCAATAAAAGAAACAAGGGAACTTCTGGATCAAGCATTGAGTCAAACTTGCCTTCATGGAAGACTTTTTGATGGAACTAACTCGCATTTGCGTTTCATAGAAAGGAAAAGCACAAAAAACTTCACGCGGCTAGTCTGACAGCAAGAGAATTCTAGTCCATGATCCGCCTACCCCTGAGTATATTTTGCATCAGCTTTGTGATCATTGCAAGCCGGGAACAGAATTCCTATCAACCAACCACAACTGGGATTTGAACCTGAGTCACCTTATTGGGAGGCAAATACTTTATTCCCTTGGCCACCATAGTTCTATAATGGACCTTTGAGAGCATCGTGTAACTTTGTTGAAAAAGTATGACCTTTTACTCCACTGGTAGTGAGTTCGATCCTGGCAGCAAACCGGTGTGTTAGCAACCGGTATGTATACGCAGAAAGGAACGCGTTAAATCTGTTATGGCTGAAAATCCTCTAGTTAATTGTAGTGTGGAAGTTTCTGGAGAGGAGTACTAGAACTGGCACTGTCCACGTCGTCTGACGAGATTCAAAATTACGCTGCATTAATGGCATGGCTAATAAGAAATAGAGCCCTTAAAAATAAGCCCATGTGTTTAGCAATGGTTGTTTGGTGAGTAATGTAATGAGTATAAAATATCTGCTACAAAAAATTTCTTTCCCGTTCTAAAACAGAAAGCAAACAGCTAAGTATTTTTTATTATATGTCATGTTATTTGTATATTCAATACACTATATTTTATTCAATGTAATATTCTTGAAAATAACATATGTATTGATTTTCAGATAGTTGACTGTTCATTGGATCTATTTCCATCAGATGTTTATTTAGAGCCCAGTAGGGAGAATCTTTATAAGTTGACTTTGTACAAAGAAACAATAGATGGTGTTCTCACTCTTCTGTTGATGGAAGATTCAGAAAAACAAGTGTTTATTGAAGAAGTTCTGCAAATGGAGACAAACATTGTCAGAGCTATTCAGGTTTAAAAAATATCCTAATATTTTTTTCTGTTGACAGAAAAAGATTTATTATTGTACTTAAAGGTACTTGTATAAAATCCAGTCGATAATTTTTCTTGAACCAAAAAAAACGGCGCTGAACAACACTAATTTTCGACTGAAATGGAAAACTCAATACCAAATGCGAGGTTGTTAGTTTGATAAAACATCAAAGTAAGAAATATGCAACAACCCAAATAACAACCGTATAACCGTGTGCTACCAAAGTTCTAACAAACATTATGTTATAAGACATGAATTTCAACATTATTTTTAAAAATAACGTTTGGTTTTAATCCTGATGAAGTACGTATTGAGAACAATGTGAAATGATTTAGTGCCATTTTGGCAAGATTTAGGTCAACTATTCTTGTGGAAAGGATTTTACTCAAGTGCTTCTATTTTTTATTAGTCATTGATAATATGTTGGATGCTTAAAAAATAAGCGTGGTAAACTTAAATCAGGTAGAGGGAGGAAGCTGAACAACTTGAATAAAGCATAATTATGACATAAAAATGGACAATAAATCACAAATAATGGCGCAAAAAATTTTCAGAAAAATGTTCCTATTTTAATTATTTTACTACTTCATCTCTTCATCAGTCATCGCTGGGATTCGAACCCGGTTCACCTCATTGATCCAAAGTCCAAAAGGGGAAAACATTTTTATCAAACAAGTAACAACACAACAACAAGTTTTTTAACAATAAGTAAGCGCCTTACTCGAACTTTCCCAATACATACTTGGAGTTCGAATTTGGAAATTTTTATTTGCATTTTTTCAAAATATTGTTTTTCTCATTCTCATATTTGATTATTCTCGTGATTTTTATACAATTTTATGAACAACAATTGACTTAACTTTCTTAATACGTGAGACTTATAAATTACAGTTTAAGCTTTTAATAATTTACAGTAAAAGACAGACTTTTAGGGTATTTTTGGATCAATAAAAATATTGCAAAATATTTTATAGAAAGGTAGAAAGTTAAAAACTTAAGTATCCGAAATTTTTGGTCATTTAGCAACATTTTAAAAGCCTTGCCACGAGAGAGCTGAAATGAAGTGGCGTTTCTTAAGATTTTAAAACATTTACATGTAGTGGTATGATATTTTTAACATGATGATTTAAAACATTTACATGAAGATAATTTTAAATCAAATTTAAAAAACAATGACTCATATATTAAAATGAAAATTGAACTACCACTAGAAGAAAATTTTCCAAAAAGCATAGAAAATTGGCAGTTGTGTGCTAATATGTTTTCTGAATAATTTTGCAGGCTTCGGAACCTGCAACTAACAACAGACTTACAGATGAAGAAGCAAGTATAACTCTCACTTATTTATTTANATCGATATAAATATCACATAAATACTTCCTCTTACAGGGGTTAATATCAGCGTTGAACAATCCTACGACATAATTAGCAGACATCTGTCCAAATATTTAACCTAAACAATCTAACATACTGCAGAAAATAGGGTTTCCCCCATAAGTCATTTAAGTATATTCCATAAGTCCTCCCTTTAAGAGTCAGAGTTGTGATGAATTATAGGATAGAGGATTCGTCTCCTATTGGGATGTCCCAGGTTCGAATCCCAGCGATGTTTTTTTGTTGCGAAATAGGACCCCGGCTTATAAATGGATCTTGGATAGGAATTATTTTGGGTCATCGGGTTAATCGTGGGATGTTTCACAGGTTTTTAAAATTAAATGTGGGTTAGTTCCATAAAACAATCCTGCGCAAAGGCCAGTTTATTTGGATGTTTGATCTAGGCGTCTTCTTGGTTGGGTAAAATGTTATAAGGCATTGGAGTTAAAACATTGATTAAATTAAACTCACAAAATGGGTCGTTTTTTAACGCCTGTAATCTATGCCTATATTATAATATTATATACATATAATAAAATGTAGAATTTGTGTGTGTGTAAGTCTGCTTGCCGAATTGTGGGTATAACGTATGCACTAAAAATATGAGATGATGCTGAACAAGTACAATTTTAAGCAAATTACGAAGCTCAATTTTTTATTTTTTTTAGATTTTTAATTATAAATTTTTTAAGGTGAGTTTTTTTATCATTTTTTCAATATTTCTGCGCATTGCGTACAAATGAAACGTTTAAAAAAAAAATTTTTCTCATCATGAAGTTAAAATTTTTATCTACAAAAGGAACCATTTAATTTTTACTTAAGACGATTTTTTCTTTATTTAAAAATAAAAAAATAATCACGTGACTTAGCCCTTTTGCTTACGGTGTATCATATAGTACCATCACATATGGTCTATAAGTTATACCAGCCATAGGCTTACGCTGTATCATATAGTACCACCACATGTGGTCCATATGTTGTACCAGCCGTAGGCTTATGGTGTATCATATAATACCATCACATGTGGTCCATATATTGTACAGCCGTAAGCAAAAGGTTAAGAGAAATTTAAACATTTTCGGAATTTTCCCCCCACCAAAATTTTCAAATTGAGACATCCACGAATCTATAGCAGATATTAACTTTGAATTTAGATAAACATACAGAGGGTGAAATGGTTGTTGGTCTTTACTGGTTGGCTTTCTTTAATAAATATGTGCATTTTTATTTAAATCATATTATGACTATTTTCATTTTCTTTTTCTGTAGCTTCAGACGATCGACGACTACTTTCTAAATGTTATGAACGTCAAAAAGTTCAAAACAAGATATTTTTTCAATAGACTTTGGTATTCGAATTCAGAAAATGTTGTGAGGTGAGAATATTAACTATATTTATTCTCATTAACCCCTTCCTTCTCGCTCCCGTGAAAATGACGGGGTGAGGTTTCGCCCTCTATTTCTCGCTCCCGTGAAATTTCTGGGCTGGAGTGTTCAGTAGTAACGCACCAATAATAATAAAATTAATTCATTCCTTTTGCCCGGGAAACATTTTATTTCTTATTTTACACACCAGATGACAGTACCAAGATATTTTTAAGCTAATTGTAGATCGCTAGTTTATTTTAAACTAGATGTCAGCACTAATCAAATACGTATATTTGGCAAAATAGGCACTTTTATGACCGTTTTCTTGAAAATTCTTTTTCACATTTTGAACTGTGTTTTTCAAAAATTTTTCGCCAAATTGTCATTAATGATGAATTGCCAAATGAAATAAAATATAAAAAAATTTCCATAGTTTGAGTGATTCATATTTATAACAAAGCATCAATTTTAAACCGTGCCGAAAAGAATTATTTGTGATTTGAAGCGAACAAATGACTGTAAAATTTTAAAATCTATTAATCACTTTTAAACATTGCCAAGTTGGCGAAATTTGTCAGCCTAGAGGAAAGCTTTCGAAAAATTTATGTGGTCACATGTTGCTTTATTAGAGTAACTTTTTAAGTATCGAAATACCATAAACACTTTTTATTTTCACAAAACTGTGGCTTTTCTAATATGGACGTTTTGTGCCATTTTAATGAATTAGCATAGAAATCGCTAACTAAATACAGGCTAAACTTGACCTAATAGTCACATATAACTGTAACAAACTCACAGAAATTACGAGCTTTAGCAATTTTGAATGTGATTAGTAAACAATTGTTAAATTTACCGATATTTTTATTTCAATGTTTCTTAGAGATTACAAAGAATGATTAAAACAAAGCAGATGAACCATTGTGAACTATAACGCAAAAAGACTACAGAAAATAAAATTATTTATAAAACAAATATATATATATTTTTACTTTTGCAGTGAAATTTCTCTAGAAGAAAGTCCTTTAGGAGTAAGCTTTAGTTACGATTATAAGACTAATAAAGTTAGTAAGTATGCTTTAGTATTATTAGTTACCATCACATACTTTAATTTTAACGAAAGGTAATTAACAAAAGTCATTACTGTATTTACTTTAGAATTTTTACATTTGGGTAGTGTCCCTGTATCTAACGTGACTAGAAAGTTACGATACTCCACGATCAGCGTGCCTGATTGCGAAGTCAATGGTCGAGAGTTCGAATCCCACTCAGAGCATGGATATTTCTCTCTGTGCGTTGATTTCAGTTGTGTGAGGCGTGAATGTAGCCAACCCTATGGAGGTCTGTGGCAGTGTGGTTGTCTGGAGCAAATAATGAGTATTTCATAAGATTAAGTTAATATTATATAATATCAATGATTTACTAACTTAAAGCTCTATATAATCAAAAATAAATTTCATCAAGAATTTAGGGCTCTTTTTATTTACCTTTGGTTTCCTATCTTAATTAAGTACAAATAAAATCAAAGGATCATTTCAAAACACCTCTTTTTTAAGTTAAGTGTCCAGCAAAGTTACTAATATATGTTCATAAACCTATATAAAATAGTTGCATGTTTATAACTTGCTGTTTAAACGCAGATACTGTTTCTCACAATATGATGGACGCTTATTAAATTTTTTAGCATTCAATTATACTTTTCTTAAATAAATATAAAATATTGATTCAATAACTTTACTCTTTGTTTTTAGGATTGGATGGTAGTTCATTTTGGTTTCCTATGTCTCATTATTCAGGTAATATACCAAAGTAAGTTTCAGATATTATATATAGTAATTAAACCATTATAAGTCAAGCACTTGCTGAAAATTCGTTTTAAGCTCACATAATGAGGGTCTGAAGCAAGTTTAAGATAGTGGAATTCAAACTAAAAAATAAAAGAAACGAACCTTCTAGTTGAATTAAGTTTTGAAATTTAAATTTGATTTATCAGCCTTCCACCTTGACCTACACTTCTTGATTCGATGTCTTTGAATGTTAAATGATTCAATGCTTGATTCAGAATAAATATTTGTAATAATAATTGTTGGTTAATCATAATATTGTTGTACCGGTAACTGCTGGCTATTAAAAAAATTTTAAAAGAAAAAAAACTAAATTTAAAAAAGCAATTTTGAAAAAAAAAGGAATTAAAAAAAAACTGAAAAAAGGGATAAACTTAAAATTTATGGCACGTGATTACTATGTTATAATGGGTAACAGAGGGGGCCGCAATAGCGCATGTAAAAAAATTATAATGAGAAGGAACATAATGAATCAATGATAAGCTTTCAACACAGAAGAATACGTTTTACAATACACATACCTCTTGCTCTCCGCAGAAGTTAACTTTTACCTACAAAAGAAAAGTTCAATCCACAAGTAAAATGAAATGAGTCTTATTGATGCTATTGTCATTCTCTTTTATTGGATGCAGATTCTCGAAAAGAAAAAAACATGTCACAACATTTTTAACGGCTGAGCATCTTGTTGCATAACAGATCAAAGCACACTATCAACACAGGGGTTTGGATATCTGGAGCTGTAAGCCAAGCACGATCGTTAATCATCTCAACAAAGGGACAGCAAAATCGAAGGAATTGTAGGATTTGCTTAGAAGGCAGCACTTTTCTTTTAAAAAGGAATTGGGAAGGGATGTAGAGTAGTGCTATGTTCTGGTGGATTCTCCATTGTGAGCATGATGTCATTAAATTGCTGCCGGGTGTTTAGGAATCCATTGAAAGGATTATAGCTTCACTGCGAGGAAAATCACCACAACATGGCGTCGGCCCTGACGCCATCTCAAAATAAATTCCATTCTTCACAAGAACGAAGAAAAAAAAAGCAAAAAACACACAAAAAGCGGCGTGAACTATGAGTAGATGAGAAAAAACGAATGCCCCGGTCATCTTTCGCGCGCTCTTTTTATAAGAGACAAAAACTTAAAGTTGAAGTTGTATTACATGTTGTGCAAGTTAAAGTTAAATTATCTAAAAAATTACGAGTTGAGAAGAAAAATTGATTATTCTTTAAAAGTTACGGTTGAGAAACACAACATACACGCGGAGGTGAAAGATGCCGACAACCAGTGTGAATTCTCAGAAACGAAAAGGGTGGAATGTTCTGGAAAAAAAGGGGGTTTGTAAAGAACTGGTAAGGAATTTTAGGGGGAGAATGTCCTAATTGCACCTAAAGCTTAAGGGGCTAAAGAAAGATGACGAAATATTAAAAATTGAATCAGGAAATTAACAGAAATTAAAGAAATTAATTTAAGTTTGTGACTCGATGTCACAATTGTCTACACTTATGAATCCTGTATAAACCTTGATGTAATATTCTATCTTTTATTTTTGTTTTTTGCTTTACAATTAGTACAGGGCGACTTTCAGGAGAACTCCTCTAGACGTCAGTCTCGCGTCGTGGCTGATACTATGGTTACGAGGATAAGTCCCTTCGAATAGGGGTGTGGGGTGAATAGTTTTGTCTCGATCATAAGTCAGCGTGTGTAAACCAATTGACACCTTTATCTTTATTCCTCCATCGCACCCCCATTAGAAATGTGCTCTCACTCGTTACCATAGCAGCAGACGGCCTCAGACTTTTAGTCTGAAAGAGTTCTCCTAAAAGCCGCACTGTAAGTTCTTTTCTTTCGCAGATACTTGAAATTTGGTGAAACAGCTATGTTAGCCAGAGTCATGGCTAAAGCTTTTGATGCTACTGGTAAGAAATATAATTTTAAATTTCTTTAGCTAATATTTTAATGATCTTAAAAAGTTTCTTTGAGTGGCCAGCAAATCACATTGTATGGCTCTTTAATTAATAGAGAAGGTCAGGATTACTTTCGCTGATTTAAAATTAATAGAAGTTGTTAAATTTATTTCTTTACTTGTGAAATATTTCTTTGTCCCTAATTTACCTACAATATTTATTATCCGTTTTTAGTGTTATTCCCTGATATTACGTTTTCGACTAATATTATTTTTCAAGTTAATGACTTAAAATATAAGTCTTGTTATTATAGAGGAAAAGGTGTAAATATGGGCACCCTCTTTTGTTTTTTTTGATAAAGTTACTTTCAATTTAAAAATTTCTAGATTTTTATCCTTCATTAACAACTATAACAAGTTTTCTAAATGCGAGAAGGCAAAACAATGATTAACATCAATTATTTCATTTCAAAAACGACGATTTTCAAAAATCTTTTAAAAAAGCACCAGAAAAAATGGGGTGTAAATATGGGCCCTCTTTAAAAAAGTCACCAGAAATAGTTTAAAAACAGGATAAAACAATACAAAATGGTAGAGAATTTATTTATTACAGGAAAAAAAATTATTTACAGAAATCGCGAACATAACTGGCTCTTTCAGCCCCGACACAGTGCCCACATTTGTCACATAACACATCTCACCCACATCTCTCCCCGAGTGTCTTCAGAGAACTTTCCATCACAAAAACTGCAAGTTGCATTGCTTGAGTCTGGTTTATCCCCACCGTTGACATTTATTAGATTGGTATCATTATCGCTGTAGATAAGGGAAGGGTCATCGAGTCTGATGATGAATCGTATCGTTGCGTGGGCCGAATTTTCTTTTTTTGAAGGCCTTTCGTCTTCCACCCTGCCCCCTGGCTGCTCTCTTACCCCGGGAAAACTCATGGACGTCTTCTTGAGAGCACTTTTTTCAAGCGTCTTGGTCAACTGATCCTTGTATGGTAATCCAGTGATGAGGCTGGACCTTGCTGCTTTGCGTCCACGAGTAGTGGTTCGCTTCGTAATGTTGGGAACAGGAGATATGTCGAACGGATAAATTGCGCTTGAAGTTCCCGGGGAACATTGAGGTATTTCAGCTGCCTTATCAATTGGCATAACTAGAGACTGATGTGCTAAACTCCACTAAAAAAAGTTGGTGTAATTATGGGCACCCTTTAAATGGGGGCCCATATTTACACCAACCCCACCTAAGAAGGATGGCCACTATCACATGTAACCTAAAAGCGTGCGTGACTAAAGGTGTGTTTCAAAAAATAGCTTAAGATCTCCACTTTCCGGATATCACTGTGAAATTATTTTTAACTAAACATAAGTACATGAAAAGAGAACGATTTCACATACCTCTCAAAAGTTTGCAGACCAGAATAAACACAAATTTGCACAATAACTCACGCTACATCCACACTACTTGAAAGAATGGTTCCAACTGCTCTGTACAATCTTATATTAGCAACTGGTGCCATATGCAGTCCTTGCCTCCAGTCTTCAGTACCTCCCATAGCTACTAGGGAGGGGTGCCCATATTTACACCTGTGCCCATTTTTACACCTTCTCCTCTAATCTATATAGGAATTTAAATGTTTGCATAAAGAATTATATCAAATGATGCCAAAACGGACCTAAAAGTGTTTCTAATTGTTACCTTTCAACTTCTCTCTGTTTTTCCGGAAATCAAAGTGGAGTGCATGTTTTAAAAATCGCTTGCCTAGGAATTTAATTGTTAGATTTCGATGACATTTTTGTATTTCAAATATTTAGCACTTTAATTTTTGTCTCNGGGGTAATACCTTTGGGGGAGGCGAGGCAGTTTGCCACAAAAACCTCTTCTCTCTCTTAAATTTGTTTGTTTAATCCCGCTACTTTATTTTAATTTTCACTCAGTAAATGTTACTGAACCCCAACTTTCACCATTCATTTGCGCTTCGGCGATTTATTATTTATTCCCACTCAGATTAATTAGTTAGAGCCCCCTGGCGGGGCTGATGCTAAGATAACCATCACATATGAGTATGAGATATTAGAATATCTCCTTGTATTAGAGCTAGAAAGAAGCTGCCAACTCTTTTTTTACTCATTTTCGTTGATCCAAATTTTGCATGACGCCATTTCAAAAAGCTTCAAGCAATGATCTTTTAAACTGTGTCAATAATTTTGCTTCAAAACATTTTCTGTTAAAAGAAAGATTGTTTATAGAGTTAGTGTAGAAATCTTTCCACATTTTCGCCCAACTCCCTTATATATTACCACTTTTAATACATTGGGTTGGCAGGTGCAGGTTTGGTCGTACAGGGCATATGCTATTTGACTCATACATTTTAATTCGAGTTAATTTCGTTTCTTAAAAACTCTCTTTCTTTTCAGCTCAAAACTATGCAACTGGATTTCGGATACCCAGAAGTTGTTCGTAATCGTTCTGTAATTGACATTGTATATGAGAATGTATGTATATCTTCTTTTTCAATTTTTCCCGTTAGAATATTGTGAACATCTTATGTTCTAGTTGCAATACCGTGAGACCTGTTATGCTATCATATTGGAATTTCCAGAAAAATATTATTTTTTAAAGTTATTAATTGGAATACATAGATACTTCCAACATCATTTTTAAAGTCTGTGATATTTTAAATAATATTCTTCAATATATACTAAATATATCGATATAAATATCACATAAATACTTCCTCTTACAGGGGTTAATATCAACGTTGAACAATCTTAGGACATAATTACCAGACATCTGTCCAAATATTCAACATAAACAATCAAACATCCTGCAGAAAATAGGGTTTCCCCCATAAGTCCCCCCCTTAAGAGTCCCCCCCTTAAGTGAGAGTTGCGATGAATTATAGGATAGAGGATTCGTCTCCCATTGGCATGTCTCAGGTTCGAATCCCTGAGATGTTTTTTTTGCTACGAAATAGGACCCCGGCTTATAAATGGATCCTGGATAAGAATCATTTTCGGCTATCGGGTTAACCGTAAGATGTTTCACAGGTTTTTAAAATTAAATGTGTGTTAGTTCCATAAAACAATCCTCCGCAAAGGCTAGTTTGTCTCGATGTTTGATCTAGGAGTCTTCTTGGTTGAGTAAAATGCTACAAGGCTTTGGAGTTAAAAAAATTTATTATCTTAAACTCATGAAATGGGTCGTTTTTTAACGCCTGTAATCTATGCATATATTATATACATATATTATATTATATACATATAATGAAATGTAGAATTTGTGTGCGTGTTAGTCTGCATGCAGAATTGTGAGTATAACGTATGCACTAAAGATATGACAAGACGTTGAACAAGTACAATTTTAAGCTAATTACGAAGCTCAATTTTTTATTTTTTTAATTAGATTTTTAATTATAAATTTTTTAAGGTGAGTTTCTTTTTTATTTTTTCAATATTTCTGCACTTTGAAGTCCATCGCGCACAAATTAAAGGTTCTAAAAAAAATTTTTCTTCTCATCATAAAGTTAAAATTTTTACTTACAAAAGGAACCATTTAATTTTTTCTTAAGACGATTTTTTCTTTCTTTAAAAATAAAAAAATAATCACATGACTTAAGAGAAATTTAACATTTTCGTCAAACCCCCCCCCCCAATTTTTTTTTTAACATTGAGACATAAACGAATCTATAGCAGATATTAGCTTTGAATTTAGATGAACATACAGAAAGGGAAGTGGTGGTTGGTCTTTTCTAGTTGGTTTTCTTAAATAAATGTGTGCATTTGTATTTAAATCATATTATGACTATTTTCATTTTCTTTTTCTGTAGCTTCAGACGATCGACGACTACTTTCTAAATGTTATGAACGTCAAAAAGTTCAAAACAAGATATTTTTTCAATAGACTTTGGTATTCGAATTCAGAAAATGTTGTGAGGTGAGAATATTAACTATCTTTATCCTCATTAACCCCTTCCTTCTCGCTCCTGTGAAAATGACGGGGTGATTTTTCGCCCTCTATTTCTCGCTCCCGTGAAATTTCCGGGCTGGAGTGTTCAGTAGTAACGCACCAATAATAATATAACTAATTCATTCCTTTTACCCGGGAAACATTTTATTTCTCATTTTACACACCAGATGGCAGTACCAGTATATTTTTAAGGCAATTGTAGATAGTTAGTTTATTTTAAACTAGATGTCAGCACTAATTAAATACGTGCATTTGGCAAATAGGCACTTTTATGACCGTTTTCTTGAAAATGAACCGATCATTAAGGGATTAAGGATGCAGCCAACCCTTACATACAGCTTTTTCGCATTTTGAACTGTGTTTTTCAAAAATTTTTCGCCAAATTTTCATTAATAATAAATAACCAAATGAAATTAAATAAAAAAAAATTCCACAGTTTGAGTGATTCATATTTATAACAAAGCATCAATTTTAAACCATGCCGAAAAGAATTATTTGTGATTTAAAACGAACAAATGACTGTAAAATTTTAAAACCTATTTATCACTTTTAAAAATTGCCAAGTTGGCGAAATTTGTCCGACTAGAGGAAAGCTTTCAAAAAATTTGTGTGCTCATATGTTGCTTTATTGGTGTAACTTTTTAAGTATCGAAATACCATAAACACTTTTTATTTTCACGAAACTGTGGCTTTTCTAATACGGACGTTTTGTGCCATTTTAATGAATTAGCATAGAAATCGCAGACTAAATACAGGCTAAACTTGACCTAATAGTCACGTATAACTGTAGCAAACTCACAGAAATTACGAGCTTTAACAATTTTGAATATGATTAGTAAACAATTGTTAAATTTATCGATATTTTTATTTCAATATTTCTATGAGATTACAAAGAATGATAAAAACAAATTGCAAATAAACCATTATGAACTATTACACAAAAAGATCACAGAAAATAAAATTATTCATAAAACAAATATATATATATATTTTTACTTTTGCAGTGAAATTTCTCTAGAAGAAAGTCCTTTAGGAGTAAGCTTTAGTTACGATTATAAGACTAATAAAGTTAGTAAGTATACTTTAGTATTATTAGTTACAATATCAAATACTTTCAATGTTAACGAAAGGTGATTAGTAAAAGTCATTACTGTATTTACTTTAGAGTTTTCGCATTGAGGTAGTGTCCCTATATCTAACGTGATTAGAAAGTTACGATACACGGATAATCGCCGGTAAGGTTGCCTAGCGGTCCGCGTGCCTGACTGCGAAGCCAATGGTCGAGAGCTCGAATCCCGCTCAGAGCATGGATATTTCTCTCTGCGTGTTGATCTTTGTTGTGTGAAGCGTGAATGCAGCCAACAATATGGAGGTCTGTGACAGTGTAGTTGGCTGGGGCAAAAAATGAGTTTTTCATAAGATTAAGTAAATATTTTATAATATCAATGATATACTAACTTAAAGCTCTATGTAATCAAAAATAAATTTCATCCTGAATTTGCAGCCCTTTTTATTAATTCTTTACTTTTGGTTTCCTATCTCAATTTACTACAAATAAAATCAACGGATCATTTCAAGACGTCTCTTTTTTAAGTTAAGTGACCACCAAAGTTACTAATATATGTCCATAAACTTATATAAAATAGTTGTATGTTTATAACCTGATGTTCAAACGTAGATACTGTTTCTCACAATATGATGGAAGCTTATTAAATTTTTCAGCATTCAATTATACTTTTCTTAAATAAATGTGAAATATCGATCCAATAACTTTACTCTTTGTTTTTAGGATTGGATGGTAGTTCATTTTGGTTTCCTATGTCTCATTATTCAGGTAATATACCAAAGTAAGTTTCAGATATTATATATAGTAATAAAACCATTATAAGTTTAAAAACACTTGTTGAAAATTCGTTTTAAACTCACATAATGAGGATCAGAAACAAATTTAAGATAGTGGAATTCAAACTAAAAAATGAAGAAAAAAAAAACGAATCCTCTAGTTGAATTAAGTTTTGAAATTTAAATTTGATTTATAAGCCTCTTCCTTGACCTACACTTCTTGATTCGATGTTTTTGAATGTTAAATGATTCAATGCTTGATTCAGAACAAATATTTTTAATAGTAATTGGTGGTTAATCATAATATTGTCTACACACATAAATCCTGCATAATAGATACAGGTAATATTGTTGTAATATTCTTTTTTTTTATTTTTTGTTTTTGTTTTTTGCTTTACAATAAGTACAGTGCGGCTTTCAGAAGAACTCCTCCAGACATCAGTCTCGGGTCATGGCGGTTACCATGGTTACGGGGAAAAGTCACTTCGAATAGGGGTGTGGGGTGAATAGTTTTGGCTCGATCTTGGCATAAGTCAGCGTGCGTAAACCAATCGTCACCTTGATTCCTCCATTGCACCCCCATTACAAATGTGCTCTCACTCGTTACCATAGCAGCAGACGGCCTCAGACTTTTAGTCTGAAAGAGTTCTCCTAAAAGCCGCACTGTAAGTTCTTTTCTTTCTCAGATACTTGAAATTTGGTGAAACAGCTATGTTAGCTAGAGTCATGTCTAAAGCTTTTGATGCTACTGGTAAGAAATATGATTTTAAATTTCCTTAGCTAATATTTTAATGATCTTAAAAAGTTTCTTTCAGTGGCCAGCAAATCACATAGTATGGCTCTTTAATTAATAGAAAAGGCCAAGATTACTTTGGTTGGCTTAAAATTAATAGAAGTTATTAAATGTATTCTTTTACTTGTGAAATATTTCTCTCTCTCTCTCTCTCTCTCTTTCTCNAATGTTAGGAAAACATTTTCAAACTTCTTACACTCATTTTGGTCGATGCAAATTTTGCGTGAGTAAAAAAGTTCTACTTGTAAAAGCTTCGAGGTTGATCTTTCAAAGTGTGCCAACAGTTTAGCCCTGTAAAATCTTCAATACTTTTGCCGCTAAAAAAAATGCTTATATAAAGTTAGTATAGAAGTGTCACCGTATTTTTGTCCAAACCCTGTATATGTTTTCAACTATTTTTGTTGGCGATGTTCACTTGAAATTTTCGTAATGAACACATCCGATAGGTCAGCATTCCCACTTCAGCTTCCGAAAGTTTTCCAAAATTTACCGACTCAAAGTAAGTGCTTTACATAATATTGATCTTGTATTATAATTTTTTCCCTCTTATTCTTAACAGAGTTGTTTATGATATAGAAATCAATAACTCAGATTACCTTTATTAGGCAGCTTGTACGATGCACATGGAAGGAAATGGGACAAAGCGCTTTTGCCCCAAACTTTGCGAGATGAACATACATATTACACGGAATGTTTGATGAGTCAATTGTCTTCTTCTGACTATTGGTTTGCTGAGGTAAGAGAAAGATTAAGTAAAGTTGAATAATTATATTCGAATTATTCTTTGTATATCATCACCTGATACTGCCATTATAGAAAAAATCGTTCTATTTGGGACATTTATTTACTATCACAAGTATAATGTGGCTGGAGAAAGAGGATATTTACCGCATATTACTTGGAACATGCTAGCAGGTTTAGTATTTGTTTGATAAAAAGTGGCAAGAAAGCAAACTTGGCAAAAAGCCAAACTGAGTTCAAGGCTAACAGCGAGAGTTATCTGAATTTTGAATTGCATGACAGCATGTTTGAATTTTCTTTCCGTCTTTTGGATAGTACTAAGGATATCGTCTGATATATATCCTCCAACGTTTACAATTTCTATGGAGTATATCGTTCATTGGCAGTAAATAATAATTTTTAAAACCAACACTTGTTTTAAAAATTTGATCGCACTTATGAGCAAATCATTTGTTGTATTATCATTTCATTATCATTTTATTGCCATTATCATTTTGTTGTCATTTTCTTATTCCTATAATAAGTTTTGATATTTATAATCTAATAAATTTCCTTTTTATCATTACAGATAAATAATACTGAGTACATTAATACGATTGCAGCTGATATGGGCTCTTTCCTTGTACCTTACGAAGTAAGAAATGTAGTATGGCTCTTAAGTATGTGTATACATTATCAATAAACTCACACTTTCTTATAAATAATTTTTGATCTTAAGTCTTAAAGGTATTCTTAGAAGTTATTTCACTAGGGAAAATAAAAAAAAAGCACTTGAATGCTTAAAGCTTGAATCAAAGCTTTGCAATTAAGTGTATACAGTGTATTTCTGACTTATTATTTCAAAAAGTATACAGTGTATATTTTTTCGAGAACTCTGTCGTCATATGAATTAATTCTTTTTTGAAAATAATATGCTATTTTCATAGTTGCTGTGAGTATGCGACAGCTTTTTATGACTGTTATGTTAAGTTCAGTTTATTGTAAGCCAGCGCCCTCTGTGCTAATTCTGAAAATGGCGTAGTGTGTCAATATGAAAAAATCCATAGTTTTGTAAAAGTGAAAAGCTTTTGCCACATAATTTTTAAATATTTGAAAAGTTATTCTAACGCTGCATTACCTGGAATCATAAAAATTTTCCTAAATTGAAATTTGCTCATTTTGATAAATTTTTCCCGGGGGAAAAAGCCTTGCTAATTGCAGATTTAAAAAAAAAATATTAACTTTAAAAATATCAAAAACATTTGTCCATTCTAAAAACTCTTTACTACAATATAGTGTATTTTGACTAAAATTATAGGTTTCTCTGAAGTGCAACTGCGAGTAAAGTACTTCTAAAATTGACAAATAGCTAAAACAAAATCACTAGTTTGATGAGACTTTTCTACCCAAATTGAAATTATCAATGATTAATTCCTAATTTCTGCATATTTTTTCAACTGTCTAAAGTCGAAGCAATGCAGTGTTAGAGTATTTTTTCCGAACATTAAAAAATTAGATTACAAATCTATATACTTCATAAACTGTGACTTTTCACCACATTGAAATTGTGTGCAATTTTCAGAGGCAAAACGTGAAGCCGAAAATGCTCGGGCAAGCCACTTTTAGTATAGAAATCATGCCCGAGATAAACCAGGCTTGCCGCCAGGAGGGTTAATATAGAAAGTGTTGACGATAGATGAATAAGCTCACTACGATCATAAACACATAGTATGTTATTTTATTATTTAATGAAAATATTAATTCATGAAGCTCACTATTTTCATTAAAAATGAATCCGATAATCAACGTTGAGATGAAAATACCCCATTGAAACGTTTATAGTAATTTAGAAATGCATTAGTTGAAGATACCATTTCCACAAATTTCGTGGCTTTTAATATAGTTCTGTCAAGCAGTTCAAGCATATATATCAAGGAAAAAAAACTACAAGTAAAATCATTTTATCATTGTTTTTTGAGGAATAAAATTTAGATGACTACCAAGATTTCTTAGCAGGTATATCGTATTTAAGATTGCTTAATGGTGGGGAATAGTTTATAATTAATAATATCTTCTTATAAAGATATTATTAATTATGAACTATTATCACATTGGAAAAAAAACTACTGTAAGATAATTTGACGGATTTTGTACAAATTTTATATTTTGTAAATTACTTATGCTCTATCACTTAGTGTTGAAATTTTTTTTAATTGAGTACATCAATTTTTCTTCTTCTTTTAAAACAGAGTTTTAAAACGTATTTGATGAATGCAACGGAAGAAAAAAGTCTTCCGAGTGTTAATCTTGATCAGAAGCAAATGTTTTATGTTCAAGTTGCACAGGTAATATTCCGTTAATTTTTCTACATTTCATAACATTTTTCCATGTACATAAGTTAAGGAGAATTCTCCTTAACTTATTTTTACAGTAGAAATTTATTCATTTATCACAACATCTATTCATTCATTTGATAAATGCTTTTAATGTTTCTTTTTAAACAAAAATAAAAAAAAACAAAAAAACATCCATTCACAAAGTAAACACTTAATATGTGTATAGTGCAACTTTGAGGAGAACTCCTCCAGACTAAAAGTCTGGAACTGCCTGCTACTATGTTAACAAGCGAGAGCACATTTCTAATGAGGGTGAAATGGAGGAAAGAAGTTGTCGATTGGTTTGCTCACGACGATCTATGCCAAGATTTAAGACAGAATTATACATCTTACATCCCTGTTCGAAGTGTCTTTTCCTCTTAACCATAGTTCCCGCCACGACGCGAGACGGTTGTCTGGAGGAATTCTCCTGAAAGTCGCACTATCGATAACTCGCAAGTAAAATTAGTAGTAATTATTTATTTGAAGTAATTTTTTTTTACCAAAATCTTGAGTAAATCAATATACTACACATTTTCAAATCCAAAGACTCAAATGCGCCTCAGTCGGGTCAGCTCGATTTTATTAAAATTTCGATTTATTAAATAAAGCCATTTTCACTGCATGCATCAAATAAATAAATAAATAAATCAAAAAAAATAAATAAAAAAAAACATGACTCGATATGGAGATGCGGAATAGTTTCTTCGTGGTTATATTTCACCAATCAGGTTCTCAATTGTAACTCCGAATTCGTATGCAGCGTAAATGGTCTGGTGTCGTTTTCTTCAGAATTAATTGATAACATCAATAGTGGAGAGACTCTTAGCTGTTTTGTTTTGAATGTTAGTTTGCCTCCAGGGACTACAATAGGGTCTATGTTTGCCTCATAAGTAAAGGCTTGTTTAGACGATCCAAGTTCTTGGACGAAGATTGATTGATTTTAATGGAAACTTGTTTTGCTTTGAGCTTAGATTGTGTAAAAGATCATCCAAGTACTTGGACGATAGTAGAGCATGTTCTACTTTACATCCAAGTTTTTCCTCCCTTAACTAATCAGCGTCTTAGGTTTTGTGACGTCAACAAGCAGTCATCAGATTATATCCTTTTGTTGCCTGTTTTCATATATTTAAGTCCAAATAAACTGATTTGTTACGGTCTATTTGTGTTATTATTATTTTATTTTAATTTATTTAGTAATTTTAAACACATGTAAGTAAGATTTTATAACGTTGAATATGAGCAATGCGCATCTTTTCCTTCCGACCAATCAGTTACATTCAAGAACTTGGATAGTGTCGACGTATCATCCAATTTCTTGGACAAAGAAATTCCTCCAATTTCTCAGATTCAAGAACTTGGACTGTGTAAACAGGCCTTAAGATCATCTCCGAAGCAAAGGAAGAGGTTCAACCTGTTCTGTTACGTAACGAACTTTGCATTGTACATGTATTTAAGAGTTCGCACGCTTAAGAACCGGTTTTTGTTTATATTCAGAACAAAGGACTGGCTTTTAAAAGGAAAATATGCATTGTACATTTATTTAAGAGTTCGTACGCTTAAGAACCGGTTTTTGTTTATATTCAGAACAAAGGACTGGCTTTTATAAAGAAAATATTTACGTTTTGACTCGAAGTTCGATTAACAGATAACTTAGCTACGTCACAAGTAGTCCATTCTGGTGCTTAGAACTTTAGAAAGTGAACATAGCAGCGTATTACAGTTTCATTGAGTAGAACTGTTCAAGAGTGGTAGTTTTTATTTTCGGAGACGGACACGGGAACTCTTTGCATAAAAAGTTTTGGGGTCGGTTGGCACCAAGTGTTTCTAAAAGAATGCTTCGAATATTTGTTATTATTTTATATCTTCCTATGATCTTAATAAAAATATCTGAGTAACTTCAATTTTTCAGAAATATTGTGAAGTGCGAGCTCCATCAATCGATTCAGAAGAAATCGTTGGATTATCAAAGCGATCTAGGTAATTAAATTTGAAAAATTTAGACTTAATTTTCAATTAAAGTCTATAGTATTTTTTATTGAATAATTGGATTTGGACTTTCAATTTACTGAATTGTATTTTAAATTTATTGAATTGTATTTTAAATTTATTGAATTGTATTTTAAACATATTAATAATATTTTTATTGAATTATTTTATAAAGAAATTCATAAAACAAGAATATGCAGGGAAGTAATGTTTACACTATATGAATTTAAGCTGAGGGTTTTCAAGTTGTAAGTGGAAGCCTAACGTCCTAATAATCCTTATTTATGTTATATTTAAGGTCTTCTCTAAGGCCTGTGCATAATCATTTGTGGGTATTACTGCTGTTGAATGATTACAGAGGGGACATTTTTTCTGTGTTTTGCTGCATGAGATTTTTGAACGGATCTTAGATATTTCAGCGTTGCTCATTACAAATCTGCAATTGGTTTTCCTTTAGGAACTGCGGTTTTTATGCAATTCAATAATATATTCCTAAGCAGGAATTTTTAAAATTAACTCGAATGAATGCTAAGTATCCCCTCTGCTCTGTTACGTAGGTAGTGGTAGGAAGAAGATGATAATACATTTCAGTTTATGATGTAATATGTTAAGGTCACATATTTCTTTTTGGTTTAAGTGCTATTTTCCAAGGATCAGGCAAAGGTACATGCATATGAACCTCTGCGTTCATTATGTACTTGCGCATTCGGACTAAAAATAAATTAAGCTAAAAATATCTTCTTCTGAAACGTCTGTAGCTTTTGGAACAAAACTAATTTCAGATTTGCACTCCCACACCTTAATTAGGTAAGATCAAGTACTTGTATATAAGCAACGAAAACTTTTTCCCCTAGTGTTATTATTTACTTGGATATATCAAGCTATAATTATACTAAATTTCATTAAAATCTGATCGGTAGGTTCTGATTTAGTTGACTAAGTCTGATATTTCTCTTAATTATGAGCACCAATATAGTTTTAAAGGTATGGTGAAATAAAAAAAAAGAGTAAATGAACCAAACTTTCGACCGCTTATCTTACTAAATTATTGGAGCTATATTTTACAAATTTTTGTAACCCCTCATATTTCCAAATCCAAAAAAGGTATGTTTATAAGAAGAAACTATATTTTTGGTGTTTAATGGTTCATTGCATCTTACTCTGCGAAAATCCAATAATTAGATCAAAAGTTAAAAAGGATGCCTAAAATTTTATTTTTCGCACTATACACACAAGTAATGATTGTTTTATATACATTACTATTCTAACTTTTATTTTTCTTTCAGGGTAAATATAGCTGTTTCTAACATGGAAGATTTTGCTTTTGTCTTTAACTGTCAACCACAACATGTATTAAATTTGCAACACAAATGCAATTTGTCTTCATAAAATTGTCGAATGATCTATAATTTCTAAACAGAATTTATGGAAAATAAAGAATATTTTACATTCCACGAACTGCATCTTTACTCAATTTCATGTACCGTAATAATATTTATTTTCATTTTTGTGAAATTAAAATTTGTTTTCCCATTATATCAACTAAATAAGAAACATCATTAAGTATTTTAGTCTGCACTACAAAATAATTATTTCGATATAAAAAAAGGATTGAATTTCTTGGGACTGAACCAGTGTTATCCAAAAAAAGGATTAATTTCGATCCTTTATTTATTATATCGATATATTTCTACTTCTAATTAATAGAGAGAGAGGAATAAACTTTAAAGCGAAGGTTAAAGATGCGAATTACCGCCATTTTGTAAAACAGATTATTTCATAACTGGTAATTTTGTAAAGAAAAAAGTTTGTTGAATTTATACAAGAGTTTTTATGGATTTTTACAAGAGAAGATTTCAAATCTGAAATTAGTTTGTTTCTAAAGCTACAGATATTTTTCCAAATGGCCTTTTTTGTTTAGTTTCTTATTTTATTTTATTTTTGTATAAATGTACAAGTTTATAAGGAGCGTATAGTTTTAAGCATATACACACGCATACCCACTCATCCACGCACACACACTCATATACACGATCGTATTGTGTATATATATATATATATTTTCCGGATTTTTTTTATTTATTATTTTTATTATTTATTATTTTTATTATTATTTTTTTCCCTTTTTTCATTGTTCTGTAATTATTTGCAAAGTATAGAAAAAATTACAGCTTAAACGGAAAAGTTCGCAACTATTTAACTGTTGACTATTTAATTGNCTAGAAGTTGAGACACCTAGTAGTCCTTCGAATGAATTTTAAAATAATTCCAGAGATTGGAACTATTTTATTAAATTGCATGGAAATTGTAGCTTACAGATGAGAGAAAGCGATTGTAAATTTGAAATCAGCGACGTGAAAAAAAATCTAAGATCCGTTCAAAACTCTCATGAAACAGACAAAACATGTTTCTCAGTGTAATTGATGTAGGATAGAATTATTGATTAAATATTTTACCTAAAATATTATTTTATATTATTTACACTGCATACAAATTAGTCAGACTAAGTTCTCTAAAAAATAAATAAATAAAAAATTTCAAATAAAATATTTTGCATTCAATTTTTATGCACTTTTTATTTTACAATTTTGCATTATGTCCAAAATTCATGTCAAAATTAACGCATGTTAGCAAGAAAAGAGGTATCCTACCTAAGACGATCTGGAAAATTCATCCAGATCCCTTTTTTGTAATTTATTTTATTTTGGGGTGCGAAACATCTTACTGGAGCAGTTGCAGTTATTGACAGTGATGAACAAAAGCAATCAGCTACCTGAAATCAACATACACGAAAAGAATGACAAGAAAATACTCTCTCCTGGTTTTTCAAATGTATACATGACTGGTGTGACAATGGTGTATTACAATGGTGTAATGGTGTATTACCATCTTCATGCATTTATGATGAATAATTCATAATCTAGATTAGGAAAGGATCTATTTTTTAAATACACACGAAAAAAAAAATCCTTATAATTTAAAAAAAAATTTACCAGGAGTATTTTCACTCTTGATAAAATTTCTGAAGAGTTAAACTCAAACTCCATGAGTAAAATACTCGCATAGAAGCGTAATATTGCTATTACTCTGCTACTACTCTGGATACAATAGTATGTTATACACTGGTGGACAAAATTAAGAGATGGAAAGCATTTTCGCACAGTCATTCGCACATGCAAGATACCCGCACACCGCTCCATGTGTTTGACAATGGTTCCGTGAATGCCCAGAGGTACAGGCAGGAGGTCCTAGAGCCCTATGTGCGTCTTTTCAGGGGCGCTGTTGGGCCTGAATTCATTTTTATGGACGACAATGCGCGACCACATAGGTCTCTCATGGTTGATGAGTATCTGGAAAGCGAGGATATTCAGCAAATGGATTGGTCAGCCAAATCCCCTGACCTGAATCCTATTGAACATGCTTGGGATGCTCTTGGGAAAGCTATTGTGATTCGCCAACCTCCCCCCAGAGCCATTCTGGAGTTAAAAATTGCTCTGGTGGAAGAATGGGAGGGTATTCCATAAGTCCTCCTTAACTCCCTTATTTACAGCATGCATACTCGTTGTGCATGCTATCTGTCTGTCAGGGGTGACCATACACCATACTAGAGGCAACACACACTGTACGAGCCTCTCTTTTATTGTCATCTTTTATCCTTAAGCTCAGACTGCATTGTATTTATTGGTAATAGGTCTTGCGCCAGTGAATGGCACTTTAATTTTTGTTTTGCATGCTTTATTATCATGAAATAAGCTATATTCATACCAAATTTCATTTATTTATATTCAGTATTTTTTTAGACATTTGGGAAAATATTTTCCATCTCTTAATTTTGTCCACCAGTGTATTTTCCCGAAATAAAACAATGGAGGCAATATGAAATGCAATATTTATTACATTTAAAACATAATATACACATCTATATATTACATGCCATGGAGCTGAAATAATTAGATATTTATAATTTTGATAACACAATAAATTTTCGAAGTCTATTCATTTATAGAAATCATAAAACATATTCTGTAATTCTTTAGTTTGCAATAAACAATCAATGAAAGACATCAAATTAAAACATCATTTGCAAAAAAATTTCTAAGCATTATTTTTTTTCATATAAAACTAGGAAGAAAGAAACTCGTTATCGAAGATAGTTGAATCACTAGTGAAGAAGGCAGAATGAAATACGTCAAAACCAGTTTGATTGACTGATGAAACTTGCAATTGTTTCTCAGTTTTTGATATTTTTAGTAGCATTTTCCTGGATCACAAGTCATTCGATGTATTTCAATGGCGTTTTCGTTATTTTTCTTCTTTTTTTTTGCTCCTTAGTATGAGATCCTTAATATATTTATTGGTTTTTCTTCTTTTGTGTCAAGGATTTTAAAACTATGCAGTGAGAGTGGTCAATATGAACATCCTGTGCGCGAATTTGTATTTTTTCTCTTCGAATTTTTATGTTCTCTTTGTTTTCAGTATAAAAACGAGGCGATTTTAAGCTTTGTAACATAAAAAATTTCTAAATTTCAATTTGTACTTTTTAATTTCCATGTGCTTGAGATGTTACAAAATCTCCACTCTTAATACATATTTTTAAAACCTTTTTCAAAAATAAAGTCAAAAATTATTCTTAAGAGTTCCCCAATCGAAACATTTAATAGAAGAAAAATGAAAAAACATCCAAATCTGAGTTATAAAACAAGGGGAAATTGAAAATATCTAAATAATGACAAAAATCAAACTTCATTCCGTAATCAAAATCTGTTTGATTGCCGGAGGAAATTTGAAGTTTGTTTCTAACAATATCTTTTTACCTTGTCCTAATTTTTCTTAGAATGAAACAGATTTTGATGTTTTATAGTTTCACCGTCCTCAACGTTTATTTAATAATGTTTCTAAGAGTATTGGTAACGTTTTTATTTTTTTTTTCGATTCAAAATTATTTTGTGACTCTTAATATATCTATCATTTTATTTAATTTTTAAAAGGATTGTAAAATCCTTGTCCAACGTTTATTTAAAACTATTTATTAATTTTCTTAGGGTTTAGATTCTGATTTAAATTTTTTTTTCGATTGAAAATTACTTTTAAATCCCTAATATTTCTGCCATTTTAACTCCTTTTGAAATGAGTTCTATAATCTAATATCTCCTTTCTCAACATTTATTAAACTCCGAATTATTAATAGCATCTATTAATTTCAGCACTTATTAATTTCCGCAAACGAATAATTTCAACACTTATTAACTTCGGTAAACGAATAATTTCAACATTTATTAATTGAAAACTTAGATAACGTTTTTATTTCAATTTCTATTAAAATTCACTTTATTACACTCAACTTCATTTGAAACGGTGTCCAGAATATATCAAACATATTCTAGAATATTTTTATTCTTTAGCGTTTATTTAATAACGTTTAACAATTTCGTTCAGTTATAGGGAACGTTTATAATATTTTTTTCGATTGAAACCTACTACCAGACTCTTAATATGACTATAATTTTATTGCATTTTCAATCAGATTCTATAATTTTTATCAAAACGGATTATATAACATTAATCTTAATTTGAAATGAATTTTATAAATGCGAAAAGTATTTAAATTGAGTATAAAGAAATTTTTCGCTTGTCTTTCGTAAGAATAAAACTGAAAATAAGTTTTAAGATAAAATTTTGAATAAGACAGACACGAAGCGATCAAAATTTGTTTTTTAAATCGCTAAGAGTTTGCAAACAGGAAATATTCAGTAAAAAGCACTTTTAGAATTTTTTTTTATCGTAAACTTTTGGATACTAAAGTGTTTTGGTTTTGAAAGCGAGCTGTAAAAATTTGTTTATGAGATTTTGTTTACACAATCCTCTAAATTAGGGTGTCTACTTGGAATAGAAAATTTGCGTGACCTTTATTTCAAATTTGCAGATTCGAGCTAATTAATTTTCGAGCTAATTAATTTTTAAGATACATTTTCTCTAACGAATCTGATATTAAGGAATAAAAATTTATTTTTAAAAAGAAGTGTTATTTAGCAGATCCACCAAAAGAGATTTTTTTTGAGACAGTAGATATTCTGATTAAATGGTCTCAAATTTAAAAAAAAATTAATAAGAATAACATTTTAACATAAGTTAATGTTAATGAAACATTTAATGTCATTAAAATTCAACACAAATGTTATTGATGACGTAAATATTTTTTATTTCGAACCGAAAAAAAAGCATTAACTATAAATAAAAATCTTGAAAATACATTTTTTACAAATTTTATTTCTCGGAAACTGTTTCACCAATTTCGTTCAAATTTCGAATTAAAATTACGACATTAGATTAAAAGTTATTTGGAATGATTCCTTCTTATGTGTTGTATATCATCTTTTTTATACATTTTGAGGTAGAAAACGATGCACGAATAAGTCAGAAATTTAGTAATAAAAAATAATCATTTTAATAATAAAACTTAAGCTTAGAAATTTGTTGCAGTAAAATTTCCTGATTAAGAGAAATTAAGAAAATAAAACAGGACAAATTTAATTTTTGTTGCAACTCAACTTGTTGTCAATTAACTGACTCAAAATATATTATATTATTTTGTTAAATAATTTTCCTCTGAATTGTTTCGTTACTTATAAGTTATTAACAATAATAAAGCAAATCTATAAGAGAATTCCTGATTAAGAGAACTCAAGAAAATAAAACAGGACAAATTTCATTTTTGTTGCAATTCAACTTGCTGTCAATTAACTGACTCAAAATATATGATATTATTTTGTTAAATAATTTTCCTCTAAATTGTTTTGTTTCTCATAAGTTATTAACAATAAAAATACAAATCTATAAGAAAATTCCTGATTAAGAGAAGTTAAGGAAATAAAACAGGACAAATTTAATTTTCGTTGCAATTCAACTTGCTGTCAATTAACTGACTCAAAATATATGCTATTTTTTTGTTAAGTAATTTTCTTCTAAATTGTTTCTTTACTTTTAAGTTATTAACAATAATAATGCAAATCTATAAGAGAAAAAAAGATATCAATAGGGATATTTACACAATTCACAACACTGGTAAATAATGCAAAAAAAAAAAAAAGTTATTTACATATATATTTCTAAAATCGAAGAAAAACTTATATGAAATAATATTATTATAATTATATAAAATAAGGATTATTTTAGTTTTTTTGCGTTATTATCAAAAAGTAAAAATAAATAAAAATTATTAAGTAAGAATAAAATTCCAAGTACATAAAGTAAAAATTAAAAAAACAGAATTGTTTTTAAAAATTTGTTATTTATAATAAACTCAGCTGTTAAAAGTTTTTTTAATAATTTTGCACTCATTTATTTTAATGAAACAACTTTTGCTATTTACCTATTGAAATTAAAATGATTTTTTTCTGATTCTTGTAATGGGTTTGCACAAATTTAGATGAAGTCTATTAATTCCGAAAAGTTAAAGAAGAAGAGAGGCTGTTAAAAATTATTTCCAAAGTTAAATCGAGACAGTGTAGGAAAAATAAACATAACTATTGTTGGATTAATTTTATGTGAATGGCAATAGAAACTTAATAATTTTAAAGTAGTTACATTTAATGGGTGTCCGAAATCACACAGACGGTTTTCAAAAATTTATAATTAGAAAACGATTAAAATTTTTAAAAAATAATTTCTTACAGCAAATTATCTGAGAAGCTACAATTTTTTCCTACCAACATTCCTGATTTTATTTTAAAAAATTTCCAACAGATGGCGAATTTCTTTCATAAATCTTCCAACAGCAAATCTCTTTTCCATTGTGTTTTGAGATGCATATGTTTGTTATGGCTTATATAAGTATATAAGTTGTATAAGTTAAATATATATATTGTATATAAGTTGTGTTTGTATATAACAAGAGTGTCTATGATGAGGGTCGAGTGTTGATTAAATGATAGAGTGTTCTTGTATAAGAATGTTGCAGATATTTTACCCGGTTATTTTCTTTTATTTTCGAACATTTCCTAATTCATTCATTTAAAGATTTCAGAATTGTGATTTTTTACTTTTTTAAAATTAGATGTTAACTATTTACAACGTCATCTATGCAAAATTTTATTTTGTTGATTAAAACTAGAAATTCTGTGAAATTAAATTTTTGCCCTGTCTCAGGATTTCGCTGCAAGAATTATTTTGCTTAACTTTAACCGTTTGCTGTTATAAATTTTTAAAAACCATATGTCTAATTTAGAAAGTTAGTTTTTGATTCTAAAATAGTGATTCCCGAATTTGAATCAAATGGAGCATCAATTCAAATTTTGACATTGACATTGATTCGTAAATGTTGATTTTTGGCTGATAATTACTCAAATCCTTTAAGTTACGTTCATTGATTAATATATTTTTACTATAACATTAATTGGACTTATATAACATTGTAGTTTTGTACAAGAACAACCAATATCAATATTTTGCAAAAAGTCACAATTTCCGTTACGAAGAGCAAATAAAGTCAAACTCAAATAGAATAAAATGACTTACATAGAACCAACGTTTGCAGACTTTTTTTGGTATTAAGACGGAAATATTCAGCATGTTTTTAAACGTGATTCCTAAAGCAATATTAATAATAATAAAAGCAAACATACAAGCGAGGATAAACATACAAGCTAACTACTGTAATTCCAAGAAAGAATTTTGATGAAGAATAAAGCAAAAACAAAAAGTTCTAGAAATACAGGAAGATTATATATTAACTTTACTGATATATGACCCTTTTGGATAGCATGTCCATTCGAGTGAAAGGAATAAAGTTTTATGCATAGCTATTATGATCTATGCTTTCAAGAATTATGTTAAAAACGATGTCTTACGGTTAAAATTACAGAGACAAAATTCTCAAAAGGCAACACCTACTGAGTGGCTCTTTCGGCTACGGTCACAGTTACAATAACACCCATTTTTTTTTATCTAGCCGTTATCCTCAAAGTAGAAAACTTAAAATGGAATATTTTTAACACAAGAAATTGCGACGATAAACCTTCGTCAAAAGCTGCCATTCTTCGTGGCCACTAACGAGAAGAAAGTGTGATTAAAATCTTTCTACTGTTTCAGAGAGGGCGTTTACTAGAACTAATCAATGTGGAAGCGCCGAAAATTTGTGAAACGCAAAAATGCTGCCATTTCTTGTGTTAAAATTTCGTTCCAACGCCATTTCAAGTTTTTCTCTGTAAAAATCACACTTCAATCAAAAGAAGTAGGTGCTGCCTTTTGAGAATTTTGTCTCTGTAATTTTAACAGTAAGACATCGTTTTTAGCATAATTCTTGGACGTAAAAATCGTAATATATTTGTATAAAACTTCATCCCGTTCACTCAAACGGTATGCTCTCCAGAAGGTCGCATGTCTTCAAAGTCATTTTATAATCAATCGCCTTGTAGAACGAATCGTTAATTGTTCAACATTTCTTCCCTCGAATTTTCTTTAATGCCGCAGTAACGACGCATAAGTCACCCTTCAGCTCACTGACTAGATTGGCAATTTTTCTTGTGTTGCTCAGTATCTCGACTGTTTGAGTGTACGGATTATAACGCAGGCCAAATGGTCTCTTGATGGTGCAAGCATATTCCCTAAAATGAAAAAAATCTTTTTTTAAAACTTATTTCATTATTAATTTTTTTTTAAAAAAAAACAGGTATGAGTGCATAAGTTCTTAGAACGTTCCGTTGGCGCAATCGGTTGGAGAGCTGGGGGGTAATCAGTTCAAATCAGACAGCCGACAAAACAACCGGCGTGTATATAGTGCGGCCATCAGGAGAACTCCTCCAGACATCAGACTCGCGTCGTGGCGGGTACCATGGTTACGAGAAAAAAGTCACTTCGAATAGGAGTGTGGGTGAATAGTTTTGTCTTGATCTTGGCATAGGTTAGCGTGAGTAAACCAATCGACACCTTCATTCCTCCTTTGCATCCCCATTAGAAATGTGCTCTCGCTTGTTACCATAGCAGCAGACAGCCCCAGACATTTAGTCTGGAGGAGTTCACCTCAAAGCCGCACTATACGCAGCAAGGTGAACGTTAAATATGTCTCTCATTGGTTGTGGCGTGGAAGTCCAAAGAGAGAGGCAGCAGCTCAGGAACTGTTCTCGTCACCAGACCAGGATCAAAATTGCGTGGTATTCCTACCATCTCTGTTAAAAGATGAGAGTCCAAAATAATGGGGAGTAGGTGCTTGGTGATAGTTGAGTGGTCTGGGTATGTTCATATGTTCTTAGAATACACTTAAACTCTACTCTCTTTACTCTAACGTTTACTTAAACTTTTTTTTTCGTTTTTTTAACTTTTTTACTTATTTAGAGGCACTTTTTTTAAGCGTGAATAAAAAAATTAATATTTACTTTTTTTGTTAAATTTCAAATAACTTATCATATTTCAATGGCTTAATTCAACAAAATAACTTGTCATGGTAATAGTACGTGGTGATGGATCAGAAAATATGTCAACTTAAAGTCAAATGACCATAAAAAAATGAAGAAAAGTAGGTTTGAGCTGGTAATATTTTACCGAAATTTTCTAAAAAATATTAAAAAATTAAGAAAATTAAATTCTAATTGTATAAATAGTTTAGGACTCATAGAACGTTAATAAAGCGAAATGGTTAACAGAAGGTGTGTCTTATGACTTCCAAAACTGATCAAATTACTCTTTAAACATATCTCGAAATAATCTCCAACTGTTGTCAAACACTTCTGTGCTCGGCTCTAAACATTTTTCTGAAACAACATTTAAAATCAGCTTCCTGAATACTCTCTTAATTTGACGTCGGTATTTTCTTAATGTCTTTGTCATCCTTAAATATTCTTCGGTAAGATTCTACGTTTAGGAGGTTGTGAAAATGAATAATTCACCCCCCTTTGCGGTCAGAGATTTAAACTTGTTTTGATTATTAACGGAACTGAAGAATTTGCTTCAGGAACAAGGCTTAAAGTTGTCAAAGACATTATGATAACTCTGACGTCTGAATTGAAGAGTGTTTGAAAGTAGGACTTCAAAAGTTGTTTCTGATACATTTAAATGCGAGTATAAAGGTTCGAGCATCAGGGGGTTTCTTTAAATTTAATATGTTTAGAAGTTCGTTCGAATTTAATCGTCGTAGAAATTAATTGCAGAGATCTAGAAATTTTGTGAAAGAAATTTACCTCATTTTTTCTTTGGCTTCATCAAAACTGTCAGTGTAAAAGTAAGCATCTTGAAAAGCTGTGATAATTGGTGTCTGTTGAGATGTTCTCTCCGGTTCAAATGGCAACACTTTTGCTGATACAGATAGAGCGTGCTGTAAAGTCAACGAAATAAAGGAATTTGAACCATATTTTTTTATTCATCTTTCACAACTCAAGACTTAACTGGGAGAACATGTTAAATGGAATGTTAAAAACACTCAATTTTCGAATTCATAAACATATTATATTTGATAAGTAAAGTATATTAATTCATTTTAAGTATCTTTAAGATGATGTGGGTAAACGATACCATCACGTCGAATGGTTTTAAGGTAAAAAAAATTAACAGAAAGTACTGATACGACACCAGAGTGAGAAAGTAGTTTCACTAAATATTCATCATTCCTTTATAAACCAAGTGATTTGGTGTCGTTAAAAAGGAAGAAATATAGCTCACAGATTTCTAAATCATCGAAAATTTGAGTTGCATTTCGTCAATGCGATGTGGTAACGAAATGATTGATAAAAGTTATTAATTACAGCTCCCAGATTTCTGAATCATCAAAAGAGAAAGTTTTTTTTGAGAATGTGTACAAGAATAATTTATCATACTTACTTTGAGTTCAGCAATAGAAGAAAGAAGACCAGCTCCATAAACGCGCATTTCGCCGTTTTGCTTGCAAAGGCCAAATTCCACAGTGAAAAAATAGCACTACAAAAATAAGTAAATAAAATAAACAAAAATTCACAAAATAAATGAATAAATAAAACCAAGCAACACGAATAGGAATGAGAAAAAAAGACACAATCGTTGTCCTTTACAAGTTGGCATTATGTTATAAAAATTTAATTATTCACAATATTATAAGTTAAGAGTTCTCGATGCCAACAACACATCAGGAACATTTCATTACTGCTGTGTTGGATATTACAAAACTGCACGGACTTAATTTACCATCAAGATGTGTGTTGGGTGTGCAGATTGAATACTTGTATTATCTGGACAGTGGAACTATTCCAGTGGTACGGAAGCAGAGGTATATATAAATATTAAGTTGGTCCCACTTTTACTATAATGACAACCTGCACTCGTCTTGGAAGACTTTCCACCAAAATTTGATAGTTTACCACAGTAAATGACAACCAGGTGACCACCACAGCTGCAGTGAGTGCTGACAGTGAGGATGGTAGATTTAAATAGCAACGTAATATGCATTCTAATTTCTTTCCAAAGGTGTTCTATGGGATTTAGATCGGAGTTCTGAGAAGATCAGTTCCATTTCAACCATGATAGAACCATGGCTTTCTGAATATATGTTTCTCGATATTCATGTTAATGAGAGTTTAAAGCTAGCAGACATCAAGGTTGTCGTTTAAAAAAATAAAATCGTCAACAGTTTAATTTATATCAGTGGTTTTTGCTTAATCAATGATAAAATTTTATTTTTCAAACATCTCTCTTGAACGGTCGAATTGAAAGAGAGAGTTGAGAGATAGATAGATAGAGAGAGAGAGAGTCTTCCTTTAATTATTATTGATAAAGTAATTGTTACAAGAAATAAATTGCAAAAAATGTAATTCAATTGTGAACAAATTTATAATATTAATCGTATTAAATCACTTACCGTTGCAAGTTTGTCCACTTCATCATCGGATGCCCCCAAAGATGCAAGACCCAATTCTTGTGAAAATTGTGCAAAACTGGGATCAGCAAGAAGTGGAACATGACCCAAAAGTTCATGACAACAATCTCTGTAGAGCAAATAATATCACATTACTATTAAAGATCTACAAATGAGACCAAATTAGTAGTGCATGCCGTGTTTGATGTGCATAATTTGCTAATAATACATAAATGTAATCCTTTGAGTGTCGTCTGTATTTTTTTGTAAATACGATACTATTTTAGAATTAAAAAAAGAGGATTATAAAACCATATTGGTCACTTTATTTTACAGGACATACAGAACAAGAATGCATTTTGTAACCGTCGTTGAGCAGTCGACCCAATTTTGGGTTTACGACTACTAATGTTCAACTCCGTAGCCATGTAATTTTGAACCAATCCAGAAGACAAAGAAACTCCTGGATCAGTACCCCTAGAGGTATGATTTGTTATGGGATGATAAAGGACTTTGTGACTCGACAGATTTAACATGCATCAGTCACCATTTACTACACGGGGAGACTCTGATCGGCGGGTATCGAACCCATGACTTATTGAGCATGGGTCCAGTGCCCTAACAATTAACATTTCTTTATATTTTATATCCGTCGTTGAACAGTTTTAGAACCAATCCAGAAGACAAGGAAACTCCTTAATCAGTACCCCCAGAGGTTTTGATTTGTTATGGGAACATGGAGGACTTTGCGACTCGGTGGATTTAACATGCATCAGTCACCATTTAGTCTTTGGCCGACGGGACTTGAACCAGCGAACTCTTGGACAGGGGCCCAGTGTTCTACTGACCAGGCTATGCCGGCCCTTTAACAATAAAAAAAGTCAGTCGTAGTTTTAAAATTTAATTGAATAAAATATAGCGGGGAAAATTTATTTCTATACATATATAATCATGACAGGCACCTCTGGTAGCGTTAATACGAGTTGAATAATTGGATAAAAGGATCGGAACAGTTTTTATGATTCATAGTGCTTGTTGTGCATACTCTTATTATATAATATTTTTTTAATTGTTTCAGATAGTATCTTACTGATGTTTTACTGACAAAATAATGAATTTAAATAAGTTTTAAAAAAAGAGGGAGTTAATAATTAACAAATAGATAAAGAGGGGAGGTCGAAGAAAAAGTAGATGATCAATAAGGATAAAAAGAAGAGGTAGAGAAAATAAAATAAAAACAATAATTGTTTATCTTATAAAAACACCTTTTAAAAGCATAATCACAATTAAAATAAATTCATGATTTCTGAAAATTTTCAAACTACAAATTTGGTGACATCACATCACGCTGATTCTGATTATGCTTGTCTGAGATGATCGATCAAGGATAAATATTATTAAAAAAAAAGTTCAATAAACTCTCAGCGATATTTGAAAAAGCCGAATGATCTTTAGTTTAATTTAATACAATGCCTGTTATTAAAAAATTGAGAGAGAAAAATTCAATTAAAATTGATTGAAGATAAATATTATTAAAGAAAGTGCAATAAACTCTTAGTGAAACTCGTATCAGACAATCAGAGCTATTAGTTTGGAGACTACACTAATATTACTTTTGGATATTTGAAAAAGCTGAATGATCTAATGTTTAATTTATAACAATGCCTGTAATTAAAAAAATTTAATTTTCAAACGTACCTTCTGGACAGATTATTTGAAAATTATGAACTATTTTAGGGATCGGTAGCTAAAATTTCCCCTTGTTCTCACTGTTGTCCCTTGTCTCACTGTTCAATATTATAACTCGACTCTAAACCATTTTGCAATTGAAAGAGACTCCTATATAGACCCACACACGAAAATACTTCTTTTTTCTTATTACATACAAATATCAAAGTTAAAATGCATTTTGAACCATTAATTTGAAGGAAAGAAACTTCTTACGGCTCTGGCGCATAGAATGGGTCTGAACTATGTCGAATATACTGCGTGTAATGAAATGCACTAAAAGCCAATCCAGCCATACGAATATCAAAGTTATAATACATTTTGAATCATTAATTTGAAGAAAAGAAACTTCTTACGGCTCTGGCGTATAGAATGGGTCTGAACTACGTCGAATATACTGCGTGCAATGAAATACTCTAAAAGCTAAGCCAGCTATACGAATATCAAATTTAAAATGCATTTTGAATCATTAATTTGATGAAAGGAAACTTCTTACGGCTCTGGCGTATAGAATGGGTCTGAACTATGTCGAATGTACTGCGTGCAATGAAATACTCTAAAAGTCAATCCAGCCATGTGAATATCAAAGTCAAAATGCATTTTGAATCATTAATTTGAAGAAAAGAAACTTCTTACGGCTCTGGCGTATAGAATGGGNGTTCATGACAACAATCTCTATAGAGCAAATAATATCAAATTATTATTAAAGTTCTACAAATGAGACCAAAATAGCATTGCATGCAGTCTTTGATCTGCATAATTTGAGGATAATACATAAATGTAATGCTCTGAGTGACGTCAGTATTTTGTTTTGTAGATGCGATACTATTTTAGTATTAAAAAAGAGGATTATAAAACCATATTGGTCACTTTATTTTACGGGACATACAGAACAAGAAACTATTTTATATCCGTCGTTGAACAGCCGACCCAATTTTTGGGTTTACTACTACTAATGTTCAACTGCGTAGCCTTGTAATTTAGAGCCAATCCAGAAGACAAGAAAACTCCTGAATCAGTACCCCCAGAGGTATTGATTTGTTATGGGAACATGGAGCACTTTGCGATTCAACAGAATTAACGTGCATCAGTCACCATTTACTACACGAGGAGTCTTTGGCAGACTGGGATCGAGCCCACGAACTCTTGGACATGGGCCCAGTGCCCTACCGACCAGGCTATCCCGGCACTTTAACAATAAAAAACGTCGTAGCTTTAAAATTTAATTGAAAAAAAAAAATGAAGCCGGAAAAATTTGTCTCTATACATACATAATCATGACAGGCGCCCTCTGGTAGCGTTAATACGAGTAGGATAATTGGATAAAAGGATTGGAACAGTTTTTATGATTCATAGTGCTTGTTGTGCATACTCTTATTATATTATATTTTTTCAGTTTGTTTCTGATAGTTTCTTATTGATGTTTTACTGACAAAATAATGAATTTAAATAAGTGTTAGAAAAAGAGGAAGTTAATAATTAACAAATAGATAAAGAGGGGAGATCAAAGAAAAAGTCGATAATCAATAAGGAGAAAAAGAGGAGGATAGATGGCGCCACTGAAAAAACAAGAAGCGCTGCCTCTGTCTTAAATCTGCTCAGTTTCACCAAGCAGGCTTGCTAGTATGGCTAGTGGCATTAGAACCAACCAACCAGAGAAGGTAGAGGAAAGAAAATAAAAACAATAATTGTTTACCTTATAAAAACACCTTTTAAAAACATAATCATAATTAAAATAAATTCGTGATTTCTGAAAATTTTCAAACTACAAATTCAGTGACATCACACCACGTTGATTCTGATTATGCTTGTCTGACATGATCGATCAAAGATAAATATTATAAAAAAAAGTTCAATAAACTCTCAGAGAAACTTGTATTAGTCAATCAGAGCTAACAACACTAATATCACCTTTAGATATTTGAAAAAGCAGAATGATCTTCAGTTTAATTTATAACAATGCCTGTTGTTAAGAAATTGAGAGAGAAAAATTCAACTAAAATCGATTGAAGATAAATATTATTAAAGAAAGTGCAATAAACTTTCAGTGAAACTCGTATCAGACAATCAGAGCTATTAGTTTGGAGACAACATTAATGTTACTTTTAGATATTTGAAAAAGCTAAATGATCTAATGTTTAATTTATAACAATGCCTGTAGTTAAAAAAATTTAATTTTCATACGTATCTCCTGGACAGATTAATGGAAAATTGTGAACTATTTTAGGGATCGGTAGCTAAAATTTTCTCTTGTTCTCACTGTTATCCCTTGCCTCACTGTTCAATACTCCAACTCGACTCTAAAGCATTTTGCAATTGAAAGAGAGTCAAAGTTAAAATGCATTTTGAATCATTAATTTGAAGAAAAGAAACTTCTTACGGCTCTGGCGTATAGAATGGGTCTGAACTATGTCGAATATACTGTGTGCAATGAAATACTCTAAAAGCTAATCCAGCCACACGAATATCAAAGTTAAAATGCATTTTGAATCATTAATTTGAGGAAAAGAAACTCCTTACGGCTCTGGCGTATAGAATGGGTCTGAACTATATAGAATATACTGCGGGCAATGAAATACTCTAAACGCCAATCCAGCCATACGAATATCAAAGTTAAAATACATTTTGAATCATTAATTTGAAGAAAAGAAACTTCTTACGGCTCTGGCGTATAGAATGGGTCTGAACTATGTCGAATATACTGCGTGCAATGAAATACTCTAAAAGCCAATCCTGCCAGAAAATCACGTGATGATAGATATCCAGCAACTGGACGAAGCTGAAATCCAGTTCTTTCTAAAAAAGGGAGGAATGATTAATATTTTTTATATAAAATTTTACAAATATTAAGATATATTTAAGTTGTATTAGTTATGATCAGTATTATATTAGTAGATTAGTTATGATATTGCACCAATTATACTAAGCTTTCAATGTGTATTTCATTTACTTTGACATGCGTACATAATAGTGAAAAAATAATAAGATTAGATATTTTGGGATTCTAAACAGTGTATAAAATCAGATGAGAATGGCGATCGGTCTACGTATTTACATTGATAAAAAACGCATGATAAAAGGTATATAATATTAGACAATGTCAACCTTCATCTATCAAAAGGTACCTCTTGATAGAATCTAGTTAACATGTCTTATATACTAGTGATTTGGTATTTAATATTTGAAGTGGTAGTTACGCCACAGGGTGATAAACGGTTTGTTTACTTGATTTTTTATAGTGATTAGTTTAATTACATATAGTAATGATCAAAATCCTTTTAAATTGAAATTATTAAATCGAGAATTAAATATTAAATCAGTGATAAAAGGAGAACTTGGAGCTATATAGTAATGAGCCACAATTTTTCCGAATTAAGCATTTTTACATCAAACTTTTCCTTAATATTGTTTTCAAATTGGTACTTCACAAATTTACAAAATTTTCACGACACAACAGCCTAATACACAGAAACATCTTTTTCTGATATACGTATTTGATATAAACTATAGTGATATACGTACGCCTTAGAAACCGGCTCACATCTTCCAATTGTGGAATGTTGTCTTTTCTGTAAAATAAACAAATAATTCAAATAATTAAAAAAATTATTGTTGTTATAATTTTTTTTGAAAAAATTGAAAGTACTTTTTTAAAAAAACTGTACCTGTATCCACAAAACTTGATGAGTAGATTGAAGTTCTCTAAAAACTCTTTGCAAGCGTGTGTTGGGTACAATGCTTTCAAGTGCGTAAAAACAGTTCCCCTAGAAATGATTCAGTTTAGTAAAATGAGCATATTTTTAAGAAAAAGCTTTTGAAACAGCTTATGAAAAATAACTTTTTTAGTGATAATTGAAACAAATAAAATGTTTTGTGTAAAAAAAAAGGCTTTTTTAAAAGTGGCTAAATATAATAAAAAAATAAATTCGTTACCTATTTAATATTCAGTTTTAAGTTAAATCAAATTGTGACCAATCTTGTGAAAAAAAATTGTTTTATTTGCCATATCTTGTGTATTTCTTTTTTTAAAAAAAAAAAATTCTAAAGAGAAAATTTGGTTTAAAAAAAGATCAAATTTTACAAAACTTACTTTTGTTACATAATATGAGTTGCAAAATAAGCTACAAATTACATGACTTTTACTTTAACGAGATTTCCATGTAAAAAAAAAAAAGTGGTAATGTGATATCCCATAAAAAGTTGATTTTAAGGGAAATCAAATTGTGAAAAAACTTGTTAAAAATGTATTTTGTTTTTGTCATATAGTACGCTATATTACTGCTAAATTTTACCGATTGCAGAGCTAAGCTGGTTGATTTGGGCACTTGTTCCAATTAGCAACGACCACTCTCAATGGTCGATGCACCCTGGATTAAAGTTTCTTTGCCGTTGGGTAAACCATGGAAGATTTCCTTGATTTTCCCTTATATTATACAAATGCGAATTAGTTTTTTTATATCAAAAGTGACATCAATGAAACATAGTTTCTTGCAATATTATTTGATTTAAGGATTCTCTTGTTCTCTGAGTAGGGCTCAATCTGAAAAGCTACAGTGCTGAAGATTAAACGACGCACATCTACTACATGTCGAAAGTGAAACAAAATGAGATATACATTAATCTTATATTAATCTTATTGTACATTAATGTCATTAAATAATATAAAAAAGTTTATTTTCTTCATTTTCGCAAGGATATTTTTTTTCTTCAGAATTCTAAACATTCAAGGTAGATTTAATAATATCTTTTGTCTATGGAAGTTTTGAAATTGAAGCGACAATCTTATTATGAAATAGACTATTTGACAAAGTAGATATCTTATTGCGAAATACCATTTAAATAGACGGAATAGACTAGCTTATTGCGGAGTAACGCTTAAGTAGACGAAATAAACAATCTGATTGTGAAATGACAATGAAATAGATAAAATAGACAATCTTATCAGGAAATAACAATGAAATAGATGAAATAGACAATCTTATCACGAAGTAACGGTGAAATAGATGACATAGACAAATCTTGTTACGAAATAACGATGAAATAGATGAAGTAGACAATCTTATTACGAAACAACGCTGAAATGGATGAAATAGACAATCTTGCAACGAAATAACGATGAAATAGATGAAATAAACAATCTTATTACGAAACAACGCTGAAATGGATGAAATAGACAATCTTGCAACGAAATAACGATGAAATAGATGAAGTAGACAATCTTATTACGAAATAACGATGAAATAGACAATCTTATCAGGAAATAACAATGAAATAGACTATCTTATCAGGAAATAGCAATGAAATAGACAATTTTATTACGAAATAACCCGGAAATAGACTATCTTAATTAGAAATAAATATCTAGTGTCCTTGAATTTCCAATAATATCTTGTTAAAAATTAAATATTTTGAAAATAATCAAAAATGAATATTTAATATTAAAAATGAATATTTATTCAATTGCCTAATCGCGTGGTTATTTCCTCAAACTTTAAAGTAATTTAGCCAAAAGCTCAATCATTGTCCATTATTTTTATGAGGTCATTTCCTTCTCAATCGAAGCACGTCGGGGAATATGCAGCAATTTGTTTTTGATCTTATAATTAATTAACGTGATCTGTAGTTATTTTATTTAATTTTTTTTTCTTAAATGCAGTAATTATTGGAAAATTTTCATTCTCAATTTGTTTTACACTGGTTTGAAATCCATTCGTAATTAGAGATTTTTTAAGAGAACGTTCTTTTTATTTTTAAAACAAAAAAGTGGTGTTAAAAGTGTCTCATTAGGAGAATTTATTTTGCAGAAACAAGACAGCTCTGCCAATGATACATTAACAAAGGGCTTATGCGCACCTGGGAAAAATTAAAAAGTGGTAGTAATATTAATATAAATTTTACAGATCCGAAGTAAGTATATATAGATCCGAAGACGACAGGTATGAAATTTGATTTCGATAGCGGAAGATAATATTGAATAATTTTTTTTTATAAATATAAACATATATTCTAAAATTATTGATCCCAGCGATGACTGGTCGATACGAATTCCGCACCTGGCTCGTACCGACCACAGTGATGACATAATATATCCTCAGTGGTAGATGGATTATGGGTTACAGTCCTCTTGCCGTAAGGCTAACCGTGGGAAGTTTTTGTAGCTTTCCTCTGCATGTAACGCAAATGCGTGTTATTTCAATCAAAAAGTCCTCCACAAAGGAGAGATTTCTCTCAACGCTTGATTCAGGTGTTCCCTTGTCTTCTGGATTGGGTTCAAAATTACAAGGCTACGATGTTGAACATTGGTAGTCGTAAACCCAAAATTGGGTCGGATGTTCAACGATGGTTATAAACTATAAAATAAAATGTATTCGATTAGGCATGAGTTACCTTTTATTTAGACGGGGGAACTCATGGTCGAGGTAATTTATGATAGTAACTTTTGTCAGGAGAGATGTCGTCGTTTTATACGAGAGAAATAGGTACTTATAAAGTATATCCGGTCGCATGGATATTCGTATTTATTAAAATATTTACCGAATGGGTAACTAGAAGAATAAAATATTTAGTTAATTTAATCATAAATGTGCTACCACTTTTTTTTCATAAAAGCCTTGTCACAGTATGTCACAAGATGTGAGAACGGCGGAACCTTTTATTAAACTCCGGGATCCTGCTAAAACAATTAAAGTGGTAGCAAAATTCATGACACGAAAAGTATTTCTTGTTTTTTTTTTAAACATTTATCATGAACTGCGTTTGATCACAACTATAATTCGGTAACTGGAATACGTATACAGAAATCAAAGATCTACTGGTTAAATGTCCACTTACTCCGAACGGCGGAAAAATATATTCGAGTAGTATGCTTTTAATGTAAGATTCTTGGTTTAGTATACTCGATTTATTGGCTTTTTACTCACCACAACTTCTAAATAATTCAAAGGCTCGTGTGCCACTTTGTTACAGTTGAGCCTTTTAAAATGTCTGAGAAATAAGCCGAAATTCTGCGTTCTCTACCGTTTTTTAAAATATTTCGTCGAATCAGTTGGCATCTCTTTTTAAAAATGAGTGAAGTTTAAGAGATAGCTAAATCAGCGAAATTTTAACTTCTTTTGCCAATTAGTTTTTCTCGAAAAGGAATATTTTATTACACTTGAGCATGGTTAATTAATGTAAATAAAAATGTGATATCATGTGATGTCGCTTTTTTCACTGAATATAAAACATATTTTTAACTTACCATGTTTTTATTTCCTCAGGTGTATAGTTCACATAAGAAATAGGCTGACCGCTGTGAAAGGAAATTTAAATATAGTTGGTTATTTGAACATAATTGAGTTATTATTTACAATAATAAGAAGTTCTATGTTGATTTAATTTACTTTCACGCTGATAACACTAGTGGACGATTTTTTTCATTTCAGCTGCAAGAGAACTTAGAACGAATCTTAGATATTTTTGCATCACCGATTTCAAATCTGCAATTGGTTTCTCACAACAAGCAACAGTTCTTATTCAGTTTAAAAATGTGTTTCTCTGGGATTTATTTTAGATCATTCGAAGGAAAATGTACCCACACTTCTCCGTTATGTATGGAGGGATAAGGTTACAGGTATATATATATATATATATATATATATATATTCAAA